GTTTATAACATGAGGGAGACCAGGGCGTATAGGGTACTCATTTTCTTCTGGGATTAGGGGTGCTGGCAGGAGAAATGTGGTTGGCTCTCTGACAGAGAGATTTGTGGAGCAATTTGTCTCTGCTTCAGGCCAAAGAATAGAGAGAAGTGGGGGAGCCTAGATATTAGCTGAAAGAGGGGAACTCAGCCCCAGGAAAAATGAGCAAATGTTCTTCTTTATGACCAGGTAGCTGCTTCTCCATGGCTATGTCTAGAATCCTACATACTGCTTGGATATAAATCCCAGCTCTTCTAATTCGTAGTCAGATAATTATAGGCAGATCACTCAATCTCTCTGAGCTTCATTTTCCATCTGCAAAATGGAAATGATAATAATAGTAGCTATCTCCGAAGGTCGATATGGAGGACTCAATGAGACTGTAGAGGTAAAGACCTTGTACTTTGTGTCTGAAACATAGAAAATACTCAATCAGTAGGTATGGTATCATCATCACATCACTATTGCCACTACCATGAACATCAGTTCCTGGGCTTAATTGGGAAGTTCCTGGGTAGAAAGGCATTATTGAGTACTCCTTTTTTTTTTTTTAAATTTTTTTTTAGTAGAGATGGGGTTTCACAGTATTGGCCAGGCTGGTCTCAAACTCCTGACCTCGTGATCCACCTGCCTCAGCCTCCCAAAGTGCTGGGATTACAGGTGTGAGCCACTACACTCGGTTATTCAGTATTTCTTTAGACATCAATCACTATCTCCCAGAGCTTGGTACTGAAGATTCAGCTTCAAGCCTGTCTAGATAAGTTAAAAAAAAAAAAAAACAACTCTCTCTTTGGGAAGGTATTAGAGGGTTAAGGATTTTCAGGAAGGTGGTAATGTACAAACGGGCTTCCTTGGCACCAGAGAAGGGGAAGGGAGAAGAAAATGGAGACGTTTTTATGATATCAAAGGCACCTGTGAGACAGGATGCTGTGTTGAGGTTGACCAGGAAACTGCTTGATGTAAATGTCTGTGAAATGATGAGGAGGCCTGTGGTGAGAACCACCCAGAGGCCAAATAACCTCACATGGCTTCATTCTGTGTCTCTTTAGTCCCAGTTTGTTCTCACATGCATGGAAACAACCAAAGCTGACAAGCAAATCTTTCAGCTACAAATCTACCTCACAGCTCAGAGAGAGCCAATCTAAGCATTCAGGTGTCTCTAAAAATAACCATGTTACATTTCTGTTTTGTTGGGAGGCTCTGTCTAATAGTTAAAAACGCTAGTCAGGCTGAACTGACCTGGGTTTGAATCCTTTTTTTTTTTTTCTTTTGCTAGTGTGTAATTCTGGAGAGGGTAGATAATGTCTCTGGGTCTCAATGTTCTCATTTGTGCATGGAGATGGCAATAATATCTACCTAATAGGGTGATTATGGAGATGAAGTGGGATAATGCAAATAAAATACTCAGCACAGTGCCCAGCATGCAGTAAATGCATGTTAGTGATTATGACCAAATCTTTTGTACAAACTGTTTTTGGGTTAATGAGGACAGAGGACAAAAAAATGTAGAGGAAGAGAAGGGAAATAAGAGTTATGGAAAAGAGGGGCAGGATGTTAAAAGCTGATCCTGGGAGACAGGTACTTGGTGACTGTCAAAAAAAAAATGCTGGAGAGAGAAAAAGGATAAAGATGGCAGGGACTCAGAGGCAGACGCTCAGCCTTGTTTTTTGCCAAGGTTTCATCCATCTGGCCTTGGCTTGTACGCTTGCTTTTCCTTCCAAATGGCAGCTTCCAAGCCTGGTGGTAAAACCCAGGGCAGGGAGATAGAACATCTCTGGATCACTCTAAACTTCTGCACTCAGTGAAGGCATTTAAGAAATATACACATTCTTCTTTTGCAATATAGAATTCCTTTGAGACTAATATAAGAGACAAGCCTGTCAGTTGAGTCAGCAGTGACCACAGGCTGACATAATCCTGTTGCTTTTTGGCTGACAGCTCAGGCAGAGAAAAATTCACTCTGATCCAAAGGTAAATGTAGTTTAAATCCCAACACAAAATTCTGACCCTCCATAATTAGCTTCTATTCCCAGTCTGTGATGACCCTAGGCACCAGAACTAGCAGAAACACCATTAATACATTTCTTACTGTTTGGAATGTAGTAATTTAATCATCGCTAAAGGTGAGAGGTTCAAAGGGTAGAATAATTCAGATTATTTTCAGGGTCTAAGAAGAAAAAACATAGGCCGGGTGCGGTGGCTCACGCCTGTAATCCCAGCACTTTGGGAGGCTGAAGCAGGCAGATCACATGAGGTCAAGAGTTAGAGACTAGCCTGGTCAACATGGCAAAACCCTGTCTCTACTAAAAAATATACAAAAATTAGCCAGGTGTGGTGGGGTGCACCTATAATCCCAGCTACTTGGGAGGCTGAGGCAGGAGAATTTCTAGAACCCAGGAAACGGAGGTTGCAGTGAGCAGAGATCACACCACTGCACTCCAGCCTGGGGGACAGAGTGACACTCTGTCTCAAAAAATAAATAAATAAATAGAATGGTGCCTTTCCTTAGAATTGCATAATAGTAGATATTCTTCTAGTGTAGCAGCCAATATGGATGGACATACAGAAAATAAACATAAACTTGCATAAGTAATGAGATAATCTAGAAAATAAAACACATGGGTAACTATATCATTTTTTTTCTTTTATGGGAAGAACGACTGGTCTGAATACACTTCTATGGTGTTAGGAATTCTAATCACCTACAAAACCAGAGCGAAATTGAAGTTCTAAGATGGATTTTCAGTACTATCTCTTCCTATGCGCCTTTACAAATGCAGTAATTTAAGATACTAACTTGAAGCCTGGATCTGCATATCAAAATGTAGGGCACACTGACTTAGGAGGAAGATCTAAGGGCAGTTTTTACATTATGGAAAAAACTAGCCTGACCCTGAAAAATCATTGCTCCTAAATAAAATTAAATATCATTTGAAGTCATGTATTACGATCAATCCCAACTGTTCAACACACACACACACACACACACACACACACACACACACACATTTGGAAAGACTAGAAATTAAATGTTCATGTCAAATTTTGGCTAAGTTGCTTCCCTGAGATGTTACATCCAGGACCTCCAGGATGGCTATGATTGGAATCTGTCTGCCTTTATTTCTTTTTGTATTTTACTATGTTTTAGGTTTTGGGGCACATGTGAAGAACATGCAGGATTGTTGCATAGGTACATACCTGGCAATGTGGTTTGCTGCCTTCCTCCCCATCAACTATATCTGGCATTTCTCCCCATGTTATCCCTCCCCAACTCCCTAACCCCTGCTATCCCTCCCCTAGATCCCCACCCACCCAGACCTCAGTGTGTGATGCTCCCCGTCTGCCTTTATTTTTAGCATGAACACAGCATGGCCTTCCTGTGCGGAAGGTGACTTTCCGGGTATCTGAGCACTTTTGGGGAAGCCGATTTCTACAAACCATAAAGAAACTCACTTCCGTATTCAGGCCCCTACCTTGTATTCTGCACTGTCCTTCAGCCTGCCTAAGGCTGGAACTTCCTTTGTCCGCTGTGAGCCCTCAGATGAGGTCCAAAGTTCCTTAGCTTGTGTTGCTGAGGCTGTAACACATTCTCACTCACCCCTGCCAGGGCCTCAGCTCATCACAATGCTCATTTAGCCACGAGCTTGACGTGCACCCCAGGGTGACACCCAGAGAAAACAGAGCCTTCTCTTCTCAGTGGGGTACAATATTTCAGCTAAGGCCTATGCTTTAAGATTTGGGACTCAAGTTTGTGCTTCCAATCTGTCTGTATCAGGGCTTGAAAGCAGTTTTTCTTGAACGCATTTTACTTTGAATTTGAGATCTGCTTTTGATGCTTCTTATTTAATAAGGCACTGGCACAGGACTACATTCATTATTTAGACTAGAACTTATTTTGCACTTGATGTTAAGAAAAAACTGGCATGCTTGTTCAGGGTAATTGCATAGAATGAAATGAACCCAATTTATGTAAAGGATTATTGAAGGAATAAAAAACTTCCAAGGTAAGCCTGTTAAATCATTCATTTAGTAACTGACTGACATTTGCAGAGATCTGGATCCTGCGCTTTGCCAGGTTTTAAAGCAAAGCAAAGAAGCAATTATTTAAAAGTGATGTTGAAAAACAATATTGAAAGAAATCCTGGAGGGTGGATCTATTTTAAGCGATTATTCTCTCTTAAATAATGTAATTCGCAGACTATGGAACTAGGCCCAAGGAATCATTTCTCAGCCTGTCTTCACCTGGCAACCTTAGACATTCCAGCATTAGAAGGTAAGTGCAATGCCAATGATGCCAACTGCTTCTTTTGGAATAATTATGTCTTATTCTTTTAAACATTTGTATTTTATTTTATCATTTAAGTTTTTGCTATGCATGCATTACACAGGTGCAGTTAGGTTTAACGTCTAAGTCTGGGATTCTAGCTCCTTGGAAAATACTTGTTTCTCTCTCTCTCTCTCTTTTTAATTGAGATGGAATCTCCCTCTGTCTCCCAGGCTGGAGTGCAGTGGTGTGATCTTCGCTAACTGCAACCTCTGTCGCTGGGTTCAAGCAATTCTCGTGCCTCAGCCTCCTGAGTAGCTGGAACCACAGGTGTGCACCACCACGTCCGGCTAATTTTCTTGTACTTTCAGTAGAGATGGAGTTTCACCATGTTGGCCAGGCTGGTCTCCAACTCCTGACCTCAGGTGATCCACCCACCTCAGCCACCCAAATGTTGAGATTACAGGTATGAGCCACTGCACCCGGCCACTTGTTTCTCCTTATTTCCAGTTAATGTCTAAACCCATCTGATGAAAAAGAAAATAAGAAAGAAAAACTGATGTGAAGAATCTGTAAATCTAAATCATTTCCTCTGCTCTACACATACAAAGTTTAAAATTGATGAATAGGAAAATGCAACATTTTCATCAATTAATCAATCTCTAGACTTAATAACAGAAACATTTCGGGCAATCAAAGTAGGGGAAAAATCTTTAATTGATTTCTCAGATGATTTTTTCCAGATTGCAAATAAAGTGGTCTAATGTCTTCAATTTGGATGTTTCAGGAGACATACAAATGAGATACAGTACATAGACAAATTAAATGCTAACACGAAGTAGGAAGATATTAAAATAGCCCTACTTTGCCTGTGTGGAACAAAGGCAGTCTACTACATTGGGGTAATCAAAGAAAAAGTGAGTAAGAGGTTTTCACCTTACAAAACTATGAGCTTCATTTGCCCTTGAGAGAGCTACTGGGCAAGGCTTCTCATGACAGTGCCTGTAGGGACGTCCATGGGGCCGTGAAGCAGGAGTATTCTACAGAACACGCACCTGCAATGAAGGTGTGGAGCTCAGGAGAAGCATCCACTGATAATGCCCTTCCTGGCTGCAGGGTCTTCAGCCTCTCGCAGATCAATATACCAGTTAGTTAAAATGCACATCAGTATTTTCTGTCCTTTAGCAACGATGATGGTATTTGCCACCAGTGAGTGTGATCTGTGAAGCGGATTTTAAAATGCAGTCCTGGGATTCTATTATACTGATTTTCTATTTGAACACTTCCAGCTTTGTAAGTATGTCATCATCCTCTCATAATCGTAAGAGATTAATTTTAAACTACTCTTCAATATCCATTTTCATATATATATTTTCACTTCATATATAAAGTTTGGGGTAAAACAGTGTAAGGAGTATAGGAAAATATAACAGATTAAAGGGTAAGATATTTTAAAAACCACCAATTTACTTGGTTATTCAAAGTTTTTAAGCTTTAAGAATGTACCGCTTTTTTGTTGTTGTTGTTGTTGTTTGTTTTGAGATGGAGTCTCAGAATTTCACTGTCACCCAGGCTGGATTGTGGTGGCACGATCTCAGCTCACCACAACCTCCGCCTCCTGGGTTCAAGCAATTCTCCTGCCTCAGCCTCCTGAATAGCTGGGATTACAGGCATGTGCCACCATGCCCAGCTAATTTTTTTGTATTTTTAGTAGAGATAAGGTTTCACCTCGTTGGTCAGCCCTGGTCTCAAAGGCCTGACCTCATGATCCGCCCACCTCAGGCTCCTAAAATGCTGGGATTACCGGTGTGAGCCACCTCACTTGGCCAAATTTACGGGCGTTTTAACCCAGTGGTTCCCCAACCTTTTGGTACCAGGGACCAGTTTGGTGGCAGACAATTTTTTCACAGACTGGGGGTAGGGGGATGAAGAGTAGGGGATGGTTTCAGGATGAAACTGTTTGATCTCAGATCATCAGGCATTAGATTCATCAGGCATTAGATTCTCACAAGGAGCACACAACCTAGATCCCTTGCATGTGCAGTTCACAATAGTATTTGCACTCTTATGAGAATCTAATGTGGCGGCTGATGATCTGACAGAAGGCGGAGCTCAAGCGGTAATGCAAGCTATGGGAGCAACTGTAAATACAGATGAAGCTGTGCTTGCTCACCCACACTGCTCACCCTCTGCTGTGCGGCCTGGTTCCTAACAGGCCATGGACTGGTACTGGTCTGTGGCCTGGGGATGGGAGACCCTGTTTTAAGCAGTTTAAGAATTATTCTCTTTCAGAAGATCTACCTGTACTGGGATGAGATCATGTTTCTTTACTTTGAGCACATAGTAGGTGCTCAATAAATGCTTGTTGCAAGAATGAATGACCAGCCAGGTGCAGTGGCTCATGCCTGTAATCCCAGCACTTTGGGAGGGGGGCAGATCACGAGGTCAGGAGATCAAGATCATCTTGGCCAATATGGTAAAATTCTGTCTCTACTAAAAATACACACACACACACACACACACACACACACACACATAGCTGGGCATGGTGGTGCATGTCTGTAGTCCCAGCTACTTGGGAGACTGAGGCAGGAGAATTGCTTGAACTGGGGAGGTGGAGGTTGAAACGAGTCCAGATTGTGCCACTGCACTCCAGCCTGGCAACAGAGCAAGACTCCGTCTCAAAAAGAAAAAAAAAGAATGAATAACCATATGTCCCTCTATTTTTTTTTTACCATAATAGGTAAAATCTATAAGTAGTGTTATTTTTGCCCGTGACATTTATGTAACAAAACAAAGTTCAGTTTTAGAATGGATTTAAAGTAATACGATAAGAATGGAACATTTAAAGGTTGAAATTTAAAGGATTATAAAAGACGTCTAAGGTCTGCCATGAGTTTCTAAATATAGCATGCTTAACCAGGAAAAAGAATATCAATATTTGTAAATAAATTTCAGATAAAAGGAAATTTTCAATATAAGCCATGTAAGTTTAAATTAAAATAAAGAAAACACAATTGTTTATAAAAAAAATCATACACATTGAAGAAATGATAACTCTCTTTAAACTTGCATTCTCAATATTGTCTGTGCAAAATTGCTTGTAGTGTCTTCAAATGGGTGTCTGTGGCCAGATATACCAAGAATATCCCCTTAAATGGCACATATTGAGGCAATGCAGCCAGTTGTCTCCTTAAACTAGACGGAGTCTGGCCAGGTCACAGCTGTGCTTTCAAACAACTGGTCTGGATATGTGAGACCTGAAGAACAGGCAGCAGCAGCTGAAAGGCATCCTGTATGTACGTCGTGCTGTTGCAGCCCTGTGAGACGAGAAGAATGAGGTTGAAGGGCTATTTTCATAGTTCAACTTAACAATTCTTTCTATTGGATAATGTTCCCAGTCTTCAACCCCCCCGCCATATTCATCTTGCAATGCTGGTGCTTAAAAGCAAGTGTAAACACATGCTTTTGGATGGAGCATGACCAGCTCTTAATTATCTATTAACAGAGAGAACAATTTATTCAAAATGAGGCAAATCATTTCCATGAATTTTTAAGATCCATCATCAGTGCGTGTACATTCTTGACCCAGGGTATGTCCTATCTCATTTATCCCTTTCCAGATCAACCCTACTGCCCTGAAATAACAGAAAAACACAGTATGAAGGAGGTCATTTTGTCCTGCCCTACACATAGATAACCAAGAATGGTCAACATAAAGCTAACTGGAGATATTATTGGGGAGTCACTCAAGGCAAACTTGAACCCTGTTATCCTCCTACGCATGGTACTTTCTGCCTGGTTGAGATAGCTGACATTATTATTCTTGTTTTGTGATGCACTAATACATAGTATTGGATGCAGAGGCCATTTAAAGGTTAGGGTAACTAAAACATGGGAAAATATCTATTGGGGAAATGGAAAAAACATTTGACCTCATATTGCTCATACTTGACATGGTAAGTTAATTTTATGCCTTTTGTGTGGCAGGGGAGAGATTTTTCTTGTACCGAATTCTGCCTCTGACTGCCAGGGTTTCCACTTGTGTCTGTCCCTCCAAGACCTTTCCCTACAGCTCCTATTCCTTCTGGCTGATGGCATCCCACTGTGGGGCTGCATCCAAAACAGTCATATTCAGTGACATCACTTTGTTATTTCTGTACCTTAGTCATTTTCCTTAACAGTAAGGCACAAATCCCCAAAACAATGCTATAAATATATAGGTAGCTAATATGGTTTGGTTGTGTCACCACCCAAATCTCATCCTGAATTGTAACTCCTACAATTCCCACATGTCACTGGAGAACCTGGTGGGAGGTAATTGAATCATGGGGGCAGGTCTTTCCCATGCTATTCTCTTAAGTCTCATGAGATCTGATGATTTTAGAAAGGTGAGTTTTTCTGCACAACCTCTCTTCTCTTGTCTGCCGCCATGTGAGACGTGCCTTTCATCTTCTACCATGACTGTGAGGTGTCCCCAGTCACGTGAAACTGTGAGTTCATTAAACCTCTTTCTTTTGTAAATTGCCCAGTCTCAGGTAGGTCTTTATCAGCAGAGTGAAAATGAACTAATAGAGTAACCCTCCTGAACTTTTGTAATTTCCAAATTTTGCAATGGACAAAATCCTATGATACATGCATTGCCCATATTCAAACTGAGCTTGTTAACACCTTGTGTCTTCAACTGGGTGCCCTGGGGCTGTTACTTATAGTTTATCCACTAACAGAAGATGTTCTTCTACCAATCTTCTACCTTTCCTCTACAGGTAGAACGCAGTGCCTATGATCCAAGAATGAGAATCCTTCCTGGACCTCTTTTCTTCTTTCTTAGGTTACTGTTACTGGCAAAGACACAGCAGTGTTGGTTGGGGCAGCTTTATATCAACACAACTGATGCTGCGAAGTCCTAGTGAGCAGGCAGGCCACAGAGTGCGAAGTCACAGAGGATGGTGCCCCTTGTCATTGACTAGGCATAGGCTGAATATTCTCCTTGCCACTGTTGCTGGCTTGGAGCTTAGACACAGTTAAACCAAAGGTTATTCTAAATCAAAGGAAGTGCCCATTTTTATGAAAATCACCGTTGAGCAATAACCCTTCATTGCAGCCAATAATCATAGTGTTAAATCTAGTGTCAAATTTGGCAGCAAAAATCTGCTTCTGCTGGAAGAAACAGCGACAGAAATAATGTGCAAGCTTAGCGTTTCTTTTTATAATCAGGAATTCTTGAAAATTAGGTATTGTTGCTTCATCAGAGGGTTTACAGCTGGTTGAGTTACACAAATATACTCAAAAAAAGACTTGATGATGAGATTTAGAATTGCAATAACATTTGCTGTGGGGGAGAAGGACAAAAAAAAAAAAAGAAGAAGAAGAAGTAGTTCTAACATTCGCTTTGATTCAGAAGCACCTTCTCTCCATAGGCCACTTACCTCCAACAATACACTACTGATCATGGGGTTAAGGACCTCGGCCTTCTTGTTGCTCTGTGGAATCAGAAGTATGAAATTGACAGTTTAGGTGCTCATACTACAAGGCTTGCCATGTAAAATGTAATGCACTGGATTTGTTGAGGGATCTCTTACAGAGGAAGAGGAGGAGAAGCAGAATGCTTCCTACCTACAGACCAGGCTTCAGACCTGCTGCTGCACCTTTTTATTCTCATTTAATTGCAACAGAAATCCTAGGAGGTAGGAGGTATCATGATAACCCCAATTTAAAGATGAGAAAACAGGGATCATAGAGGATGAGAGAGGTTGAGTAACTTGTTTAAGATCACATGGCTAGAAATTAAACTGAAACCTTTTTCAGTTTAATTTCGAACTGAAACTATGTAAATTTTGTAGCAGGTCTGGGATAAGAGTGAAGTGAGGGAGGCTGAGTTGTGTAGGCAGAGGATTGGATGCTGTCTTTACTTAAAGTTTTGATAGTCTGATGATCATAATATTTTGGCATTTTATTTTAAAATATATTTCATTAAAATCGCTATCTAGATTCCTGAGGTTTGTTTTCTGTTTCTTTTTTGGGCCCCTTTCACTTTGTAGGTGAGTTAAGTCCCTCACTTACCTAACCTAGTCTAAGCCTTGGTCTAGTCTTCTTTTCTTCCTTCTTTTAAATGCAAACATAGGAACTTGGTTATAGGGCATCTTCCAGAAAAGCAGCAGAATTAAGACATTCTTAAATACAACTTGAACACAGATCAGCAGATCCGTATTTGAAAAACACAAATATATGTAAAGCATAGAGTACAGTGCCTGGTGTAAAGTAGGGACTCAAAAAGTGAAAGTGCGGTGGCTCAAGCCTGTAATCTCAGCACTTTGAGAAGCCACAGTGGGTGGATCACCTGAGGTCAGGAGTTTGAGACCAGCCTGGCCAACATGGCAAAATCCTGTCTCTACTAAAAATACAAAAAAAATTAGCTGGGTGTGGTGGTGGGCACCTGTAATCCCAGCTACTAGGGAAGCTGAGGCAGGAGAATTGCTTGAACCTGGGAGGCAGAGATTGCAGAGAGCCAAGATCACGCCACTGTACTCCAGCCTGGGTGACAGAGTGAGACTCTGTCTAAAAAAAAGAGAAAGTGAAAGGCAGAGTTGGAGTTACTATCTTTGCTTATGCTATCGGTCTATCAATCAATAGTCTTCTCTAGCTAAGAGTTCAATCTACTCTTAGACCATAAACCATTAAAAGGATTGGCGAGAAAAAGGGCGATCTTAATAAGTTAGCTTCTCTTACAGTACCTGGAAGAGTTCAGTATAAAGAAAAATACATAAATTAAATATATCTTCTCAGAGCAGCCCACTTTCATTGCCATTACTCTACTGAGGGTGAAGTAATGTCTTACTGGGGAAACCATAATGGAGTTTTGGGAGAAACCTCTTTAAAAACCCAGTCATTTTAGTAAGTAACCAGAAAATCCATTATGGTATTTGCTTTCATGTTTATTTGATTATCAATAAACCTCTAAAATATAATCAAATGAGGGCAATAAGATGACATTGGTTTTCAGAATCAATGAGGTATGCAAGCAATTTAAATAGAGCCTGGAGAGCAATATACACTCATTAACTTCAAGTTATGAATAATGGCTGTTTCAGAGAACAGAGACACTGAATTGATGTAAATGATTCATCATAGCACAAGATCAGAGGAATTGTGGTGGTGAGAGGGCATTTCTAAATTCTATTTCAGATTCAGGTTTTTCTTCCTCAAAATAATAACCTGTGTGGTCCTAATTCTGTTCATGCAAACACTGTACATGTGTGTGTATAAATATATATAAGGTCAAGTGTATGGCCATCTGCTAGCACCTTACTACATAAAATACGGACCATGGATCAAGACCACTGTCATCACCTGACTGCTTACTAGAAATACAGAATCTTAGCCTCATCCCAGACCTACTGAATAAGAATCTTCATTTTAACAACATCTCCAGATGATCCATGTGCACCTCGAGGTTTGAGATGCTGCGCTGGGATAAACCATGTGAAAAGGAAAGGAAAACAATACCATGAATACTACCCACTCATGTAGATACATTAATATTTAACAATATTATGCAAAATATAATACACATAAACATGCACACAGGCACATTCTCGAGCCTAAACAAACACAGAGAACCAAAGCGTTGGTCTCTGTCTGATGTATCTGGTAGATAACCAACTGGAAATTAAGAGCTCTGCTAAGAGGCTTGGGGGAATCAATTCACCCCTCTGGGCCTCAGTTTCCTCACCTAGTAAACTGTGAGAAGGGTGACAAGAGGGTGCAATAGAGCCTTAGGAACTGAAGTCACCAAGGCTATTCCATCTTGATTAAGACCTCGCACCTCTCTGCAAGCCTAGTGTTTATATCAAAGTCCATGGACATCAGGTAACTTGGACCACACTGAGGGCGCAAATGCATTTTATCCAGCCTATTTTATCAATGAGCTTCTACCTCTCTTGTCATGCTGCTTGTATACAGTGAAGCTCCTGAGGGCCTGATATTAGACAAACCCAGAAGGTGCTGTTGTACAAAACAGGAGAAGCAGATCAGCTTTCTTGACAGCAGAATGAATAGGTGGTGTGTAGCTTACCCCTTATTCACAGAGTCACTTACAGAAGGGTGGGGGACAGGCATCTTTTTGGGTTACAGCCAGGTCTATGGTCATTTCTCACTTCTTTTGAGAAATGCTCTTGGCCTGAGGAGGAGGAGGAGGGGGCATGCCCCAGGAGCCAGGTAGGTCTGCACAATGAGATGCTGTCCCCAGTTGCTGCTGAGTGAAGCCAAGGTGGACATGTGACCCATGCTGATGAGCTATTCAAACCTTACCCAGGAACCAGGAATTTGAATGGAAAGACACAGGGTTAGGAACTGATGTCACTGAGTCACATTAACAGCAGCACTTTAGAGAGAGTATGTGTAGGCCAGGCACAGTGGCTCATGCCTGTTAAGTCCAAGGCAGGTGAATCACCTGAGGTCAGGAGTTTGAGACCAGCCTGGCCAACATCATGAAACCCTGTCTCTACTAAAATACAAAAATTAGATGGGAGTGATGGCCCACACCTGTAATCCCAGCTACTCAGGAGGTTGAGGCATGAGCATTGCTTGAACCCAGGAGGCGGAGGCTGCAGTGAGCCGAGATCACACAACTGCACTCCAGCCTGGACAACAGAGCGAGACTCAGTTTCAAAACCAAAAGAGAGAGAGTCTGCATGAGCTCTGGTGCTGGATCCCCATAGCCGTTCACTTCCCCCAAGGCCTTTCGTAAAGCCTCCTTTTTGTCTAAATTTTTCTGAACATGTTTCTGTTGCTTCCTGGTATGGGTTGAATTGTGTCCCCTGCAAAACGACATACTGAAGTCCTAGCCTCCAGCACCTGAGACTGTGACCTTATTTGGAGATAGGGTTGTTGCTGGTGTGATAAGTTAGGATGAGGTCATCTTGGTCATGCTCTAACCCAATAGGCCTTATAAGGAGGGAAATCTGGGCACAGACATGCATGGAAGGAAGAAGATGTGAAGACACAGGGAGAAGCAGCCATGTCAAGACACATAGAAAGAGACTGGAGTTTTGCAGCCACAAGCCAAGGCATACCTGGGGCTACCAGAAGCTGGAAGAAGCAAGGAAGGATCCTAGAGGTGCTGGAAAGAGCAAGGCCCCGATACACCTTGTTTTCAGATGTCTAGCCTCCAGAACCACGAGAAAATAACCCGGTTTATGGTACTTTGTTAGAGCAGCCCTAGGAAACGAATGCATTTGAAACCCAAAACCAACCTAATTAGAATAGGAAGTAACCTGCTGTTTCTCCCGGAGAACAAACATCATCAGACTTTGCATCCAGGGTTTTAAAAGAAAAAACAGGAAGGTTAAAGGGAATATTTTCCAGGAGTTCAAGACCAGCCTGGCTAAGATGGTGAAACCCTGTCTCTACTAAAAATACAAAAATTAGTCAGGTGTGGGGGTGGGCACCTTAATCCCAGCTACTCAGGAGACTGAGGCAGAGAACTGCTTGAACCTGGGAGGCGGAGGTTGCAGTGAGCCGAAATCGCGCCACTGTGTTCCAGCCTGGCGAGACTCTGGCTCAAATCAAAACAGGAGTATTTTCCAATTTTCTGTGGGCCCACTAAAGTGAAACTATATAATATGGCTTATTTCCAAAGAAAATAATGAGAGGCCACACCTCCAAGTGAATGCTGAGCCTTTCAAACTTGTTATCTTGAGAATAGAAACACTTGAGCCAATCAGTAACATTTTTCTTTTGGTTAAAGTCAAGTGTGACAATGAAACAAAGAGAACTTTATCTTGCATGGCTTGTAAAGTAGGCTCTGAGGGCAACAGTCAATGAGAATATTCAAAATTAATCATTTTAACAGAGATTCTGAATTACATATATCACAGATATTAAGTAATTAATGGAATCTTCATCTGACACTTTAAAAAAAACAAACAATAAACAGAGGTTTGACAGCTCAGTCACCCAACATCTTGTATGTCTGAGATGGCAGATTCAAGGCTAGAACCCAGTCAAGAGAGTCCTAAGCCGCCCATCCTTAGAGAAGTTGCTCTTGGCCTGACTTTAGCTTACATTGCGGCATAGCCTCAGTTTTATGGAGAGATTAAAGTGCTGCCTCTTCATTTTTCCTCACAGCCCCTCACAGAACTACTTCCCATAAAAAGGGTGAAAAAAAATCCAGACTGTAATCTTACCCCAACAGTGGTTAAAGAACTCGTAAACTTCTTTGATAAGGAGGCCACTTCATTGCACATCGCAGTAGTTAATCTGAAATAAGAGAAAAAGAGAGCTTTGGATGTTTTCAATAAGGTAAACTAATTGAAGTGTCATGACAATTTCTGATACTAATTCAGTATGACATTTAAAAGAATACCACACACACTTGAAGATGCTCTACAGAAATGTGCAACCCAATGGTTCCCTCCATAATCTTCCATGATTCGCAATCATGGTTTAATCTAATCCTGGTTTTCTTTCCATGCTTAAATAATAATCATCCAACTCACTTGACTTCTTTTAAAATCAAAACCTTGTGTAGGAAAATACCAGGCTTCAGCTTCACATGTGTCGAGGTATAAACTCTTGCCAGATGGCTGTTTTGCAGCTTTTTGGTCATTTCAAAATAATCATGAACATTCACTGAGGCACTTACTTTAAGCACTTTTGTATGCCTAATCATATTTAATTCTCAGGGTGACCTTATGGGTTATATTATTATTTCCATTTTATATAGATGGAAAATCAGACATTTAAGAAAGTTAGGTGGCCAAGCGTGGTGGCTCACGCCTATAATTCCAGCACTTTGGGAGGTCAAGGCAGGTGGATCACCTGAGGTCAGGAGTTCAAGACCAGCCTGACCAACATGGTGAAACCCTGTCTCTACTAAAAATACAAAAAATTAGCCAGGTGTGGTGGCAGGCGCCTATAGTCCCAGCTTCTCAGGAGGCTGAGGCAGGAGAATCACTTAAACCCAGGAGGAGGAGGTTGCAGTGAGCTGAGACTGAGCCATTGCACTCCAGCCTGGGTGACCAGCGCAAAATTCCGTCTCAAAAAAAAGAAAGAAAGAAAGAAAGTTAGGTAAACTGTTTAGGTGCTTAGAACATGCAGGAGAGGTGGATTCAAATTCAGGTGTTTCTGGATATTTTGATTATTTTTTATTATATGCTTCAAAAATAAAGATCCTATAGAATATGTTTTTAATACTTATATTAAAATTCCAAGTTTATTCTAGGCATTCTACCTCTGGGACTTTATTCCAAGAAAATAACACAAGATACCCACAAATATTTAATGAAAGTAACATTTATCCTAACAGTATAGATGACAAAAACTGAAAACAATTTAATTACCTAATAATATAGGTATGGTCTGCTATTTTTCTATCAATTAGTGCACACAGCTCTCATGAATAGTGATTGAAATGCTATGGGAAAAACAATAACCCCAAGTCAAGAATCTTATATGTTAAAAGATCTAGTAAAGTCAGTAGAGGTAAGTTTTGCTTTGATAAAAGAGGCCTTATCTAACATATATTCAGGTTTTATGAACTATATCCATCCACCCATTCATCCACCCATCCATCTACCCATCCATCCATCCATCCATCCACCCACCCATCCATCCATCCATCCACCCACCCATCCATCCATCCACCCATCCATCCATCCATCCATCCATCCATCCATCCATCCATCCATCCATCCAGCCACACACCCATCCATCCATCCATCCCACCCACCCATCCATCCATCCATCCATCCATCCACCCACCCATCCATCCATCCATCCATCCACCCACCCATCCATCCAAAACTTGTCTACAGAAAGCATCAAGAGTAAAGCCAGGAGATATCCCAGAGCCATTCAGTCTGTGTTCTTGGGCAGGTGGGTGGGGAGGCACTTACTGTACAGACAAGTCAGGGACTAGGTGCAGCTTGGTAAGGCTGGGACAATCAGGGCTGGGAATCAGAAAGGAGCAAAGGGTAAGATCCTGTTACCCATACCTAGGGCTTCTGAACTTTAATCCTCCCCTTTCCAATTAGTACTGCAAAGATAAACCAGTACCCACAGATTGCCCTCAGCATTTTCAGCCTCTCTTACTTTGCTTACTTTGTCCTTTCCTCTTCTTTCTAAATGTTGAGGCAAGTGTGCATTCTTTCTAGGAATATTAAGGTGGGGATTATGTGGTTCTCAAAATAACTTTGATTTTTACATTCTTAGACATGGAAATGTAGGCTAGATGAAAGATCTCTACAAGTGAGGAAAAATGCCACCAGTACAAAGACACTAATGCTGACTTTTTGGAAGATCTTTCCACTAAAAGCTTACTCCTCAACCTACAGCACCAAAGCAGTAATAAGCAAAGGCTAGTTCGCTAGCAAAGTGGCTGTGCTGAGACCTGTATGTGTCTGTTCCCGAATATTTTCAGGGCTCTATTTTGACTCCTGTGTCTGTATAATAACACGAGGGTACTTAGGCCTATGTTAATTTTCTGTATCACAGTAATGGCTTATTTTTCAGCTTCATACCAATTATTTTCACGAATACCCTATCTCAACTGTTTTCATGTATATTCACTAGATTGCATATTCATATCTGTTACATATAGAAATATTTTTATTTTACATAAGGTAATGATAATAGCAATTATTTATTGAAGAACATAATATAGGACACCACATATGTACACACATACAACTCAGGGTGAATTGTTTAATATTAGCTACCCTCATTACCAGAGTTCAGAATATGCAGAGCCGGTATAAGTCCCCAGGAACAGTGGAGTGTATTTGCCTATTTTTGTGAATCTAGCTAGAAGTTACATTAAAGTGTCCTTTCTCTATTTGTGTGTATGTTGAAAATGTAATTTCTCTAAAAAGTTTTTACTCCTAAGACTATGATCTATTAAATAAACACTTTCATGCCTCTGAATGATTTAATGTGTCTTCCCTTAAATCTCTTCATGAATAATTCCTAGAATGGCTAGTGAAGTCGTCCTCTTCTTGCTAACATAATGCATTTGTTAAAGAAATCCTTATTTCTGGCCAGGCACGGTAGCTCACACCTGTAATCCCAGCACTCTAATGGCTTATTTTTAAGGGGGCCAAGGAAGGCAGATCACAAGGTCAAGAGATTGAGACCATCCTGACCAACATGGTGAAACTTCATCTCTACTAAAAATACAAAAATTAGCTGGGCATGGTGGTGTGGGTCTATAGTCCCAGTTACTTGGGAAGCTAAGGCAGGAGAATTGCTTGAACCCAGGAGGTGGAGGTTGCAGTGAGACGAGATTGCGCCACTGCACTCCAGCCTGGCTACAGAGCAAGACTCTGCCTCAAAAACAACAACAACAACAACAACAACCACAACAAAAACAAACTAAAAGAGAAATCCTTATTTCTTAAGATGATCATAGAACAATAGCATTGGTTGACCTGAAATCTGAATCTCTAGCCAGGTATGGTGGCTCATGCCTGTAGTCATAGTACTTTAGGAAGCTGAGGCAGGAGGATCACTTGAGCCCAGGAGTTTGAGACCAGCCTGGGCAACATAGCCAGGCCTTGTCTCTGCAATTAATTAAAAAATAAGCTGGATGTGGTGGCACGCACCTGTAGTCCCAACTACTGGGGAGGCTGAGGCGGAAGGGTCGCTTGAGCCTGAGGGAGTTTGAGGCTTCGGTGAGTCATGATCATGCCACTGCACTCCAGTCTGGGTGACAGAGCAAGCTGCCACTTCAACAAACCCAAAAACAAAAACAAACAAACAAAAAGAAATCTGAATATTTTAGTAGCTTTGAGAGTATTGGTGTATATGTGTGTATCTGAATGGTACCTATATATAAAATTGGAAAATAAGAATTTAAAGTAATATTTATTTACTTTATTAGAACTTTTGCTTGGTCCAGAGCTGGTTTTTCCTCTTCTTGTCCGTGAAGAATTAATTCTGCTACTTTATGAAGCTGCTCGATACAGCGTGCTGTTACCTCTGCGAGACTTTCAATGGACAACATGTATACTTCCTGAAATGAATAAATACAAGGACAAAATTTATTGAGTAGATGCTTTTATCAAAAAATGCTGTGACAATAGAAGTGATATAATTCTTTTAAAAAAACCCTAAATATAACATGAAATAGTTAACCTGAAGATTACGAGTATATTGAAGACTTTTTTAAGTGCAATACTACCAGAAAAATGAAGTGTTGTCAGGCACCCAGGGATGTGGAGAGCCTGTTCACAGCTGCGTCCCCAGTGCTTACAGCAATGCTGGGCACAAAACAGGCAGGTGCTAAAGAAGGCATGTGGAAGGCCGGCTGAATGCACAGAGCTCAATGGATATTTTTCCTTACAGTGATCTAATCACTGCAACCTCCGCCTCCCGAATTTAAGCGATTCTCATACCGCAGCCTCCCAAGTAGCTGGGAATACAGGTGTGTGCCACCATGGCCAGCTAATTTTTTTTCTTTTGTATTTTTAGTTAAGACGGGGTTTCACCATGTTGGCCAGGCTGGTCTCGAGCTCCTGAGCTCAGGAGATCCACCTGCCTTGGCCTCTTTAAGTGCTGGGATTACAGGTGTGAGTCATTGTGCCTGGCCAAAAAGTTACTTTCTTTAAAATTAAAACTCAGATGAAGTTACTACAAACTCCTCTATTAAACATAGGCAGGATATAAACTATGCACACATAAATTTATTAAATTACAGAATAAAAGCTGTGGCAATGAATTTTTTTAAAGGCTTCAATTACCTCATTAGTTATGGGACATAAAGACATTTTATAGTAACACATTTGCATATAAGATGAAATTCTACCCGAAAGATAAATCAACTACGTTCCTAAAGATCTTTTTTCCCTTTAAATTATAATTGTAAAGCTATGGAGAAAACTTACAAATTTGTGCTAAACCATGAATTATCTTGGCAGACAGAAATTTCAGTGTTCATTGCATTCCTACTTATAGTTTTATAATATGGAAAAAATGAAAAAGAAATGACCTCTCTTCACTTAAAACTAAGTTGCTAATGAAATGAACATACTATTATTACCTTGTAGGTGGACACTCTAGAATAAATTTACCTCTGTGGTCTTAGTTCTCTTTTCTTCCTTTTTGTCTTCTTGAGGGTTGTGAGGTTTCTCTTCCTTTTCTTCCGTCTTTGTTTCCTCCTCTGACCCTTTTGCCACATCTACCGACACCATGGTCTGATCCTCTTCCACCCAGTCATGGGCCTTCTTCATGGCCTGCAAAGGTCCCCAACCAAACAATTCTTTTATGCTGCAAATATGGAAACTAAGTCATCCCAACCCCAAGACTAGAATCAAGTGGCTCTAAATCTTCAAGAATGGCTGGGCCTGGCATGCTGGCTCATGCCTGTAATCCCAGCACTTTGGGAGGCCGAGGCAGGTGGATCATGAGGTCAGGAGTTTGAGACCATCCTGACCAACATGGTGAAACCCTGTCTCTACTAAAAATACAAAAAAAAAAAAAAAAATTGCTGGGCGTGGTAGTGCACACCTATAGTCCCAGCTACTTGGGAGGCTGAGGGAGGAGAATTTCTTGAACCCAGAAGGCAGAGATTGCTGTGAGTCAATTGCGCCACTGCACTCCAGCCTGGGCAACAGTGCAAGACTCTGTCTCAAATGGATCTCTGTATGTTTAGAGGGTGACGGGACAATTTCTCAACCCCCTAAAAAGACAGCCTTGTTGTTGCTTTCCAGTAAATATAAAATAGAAAAAAGGGACAGAATAGAAAGTATGGAAAGAACGTTGCAGGCCTGAGGACTCTTTAAAAAGCCATTTTAAAATGATATTCCAATAAGAATAAAAATGACAGTCACATTGAAAAATCTATAGTATATTTTTCACTTTTCATGATCATCTATAAAAGAATAACAGTACTTTAAAAAATATGTGTTAGAAATTGAGCCAGGGCCGTGGCTACAGCAAATGTCCTAATCTGACATATCTCAGGAAGCTCTTAATGTCTCGTGACCCTAATATGCTGGGAAGGTGAAGAAGGGCTCTGCGTTTCTTGATTCATGACAGGTCTGCCAACCTCAAGTGGGAGAAGAGAAGGGCTGTGGGAAAAGCCTGGTGCTGCTCTGTGTCTAATTTCACACGAGTGCGGTTTGCGCACTCTGGGCCCTAAAAAATCATGGCTAAGCTAAACAATCAGAAACCTCCTCCCCTATCTGTTATTCCCTGAACTCAGAAAGAAAGGGCAGACTCACTCCAATTGTGTCATGACTGTTTAAGCTGTTTGCTTAGGTAAAACTTGTTTTGGGGCACAGGCTAAACTTCCCACCTTAAATCTTACACGTCAAAGTTAAAAATATCAGAGTGTTGAATGGTAAGTTAAGAGCAAGACGATCTGGGGAGAGAAACCCCAACAAAACTGTCCTCCGTGTGTCCTCTTTTAGAGACAAAGATTTAACCCTATGCAAATAAGCCGGTGGAATCTTGGAGCCACCACATGCCCGCTCTGAGCAGTGGCAGGTGCCACAGGGAGATGAATGAGGCAATTTCCCACTGTGTTCAAGTCACTGACCTGCCAGAACCAGTGACCCCATCAGAGATAAAGAAATTACTCATCTCACTACCTTATTCTGCCCTTTTCCTCACCTACCTGGATAAGGGAGTGCCTGTGTAAACCACTGCTTGCTAAAAAGAAGAAAGAGACAGAGAGAATGGAAAAACATGTGGTTTTGAGTAATTAGTGATCATGTCTCCTAAAGAAACTTCACAGCAAGACCTTGTACTAACTTGCAAAACATACTGCAGTATTATTAGAGGAACCCAGCCTGTTAAAGCTGGAATGGTCTTAGACATGATGAAGCCCCTGTGCTCCAGATAGGAGGGACTGTGGGGTTTACCTGGCTGACATGCCTCTCTCTGCCTAATTCTGGCACGTTTCCTTAGAATGGGGGTGGGGGATGAAATCTGAAAAAGCTTCTTGGTGGTTCTGCACCTTTTCCCTCCTCTAACCTGATGATAACTACTGCTCTGACATAACATTCTATTTTGCCATGAAAAGGTAAGTGACTTGTTCAATGTTGCAAGGTAATTACCAGTAAAATTACAACTCAAATGCAGATTTCGTGACACAGTCTAGCATGTTCTCCACCACCACATTCCATTATGTTGCCTCCTCAAATCTTTTCTTATTTTCTTTTTTAAAATTTGAGACGGAGTCTCGCTCTGTCACCTAGACTGGAGTGTTGTGGCACTATCTCAGCTCACTGAAACCTCCACCTCCTGGATTCAAGCGATTCTCCTGCTTTAGTCCCCAAGTAGCTGGGATTACAGGCATGTGCCACCATACCCAGCTAATTTTTGTATTTTAGTAGAGACGGGGTCAGGCTGGTCTCAAACTCCTGACCTCAAGTGATCTGCCCACGGCGGTCTCCTGAAGTGCTGGGACTACAGGCGTGAGCCACCACACCCAGCCCCCCGCCTACCCCCACCTCAAATCTTAATTACTGACCTGGAACTTCTCTCCCGGCACTATGCCATATAAGATTTGGGGGTTTTCTGTTTCAGGTGCATCTCTGGAACTTTACAACAGAAAGTCTCCCATGCACTTTTTTTTTTAAACTAAAAACTATAAATCAGAAAGTGCTGACCTTATTGAGTTTGTCAGGCGTGGCCGCCACATGTAATTCAAAGAGAAGCTCTGTAAGCATGCGAGCAAATTCTTCTCCCTTTTCTTCTAAGCCTAGAAATAGAACACGACAGAAGAAGCGTGATTTATTTTTCCTCCTTCACGATGTGGCAGCTCCCCCAGCGTTCCAGCCTGCAGTTCGGGCAGACTAAGCGGAGGTTGTAGCAGCCTGCCCGCCAGCCGCCGGGCAAAGATGAATGTCTTCCATTCATGAGGGTGGCAGTGAGGCAGCAGATGCATCCGGGTGCGGGCCACTGAAGCCCTGTTACTGGCAGCTTCCGCAGGGACACCCCCAGGCCAATCCAAAGGCAACAGAGGGCAGGGAGGGACCTCGCAGGTCTTGTTCACAGCTATAGGTGGTCAGCAGCTATTTGCTGAAAGAAGGACTGGATGAACAAATGTATGACCTTTCGCAGGCCTAAGGGACCTGGGACAACATCATATTTATGACTTTGATATTGTGATGCTTAGCATTGCAACCCTAACGATACCCAGGTGCCCTCCTATGTCCACAGAGCCAAAGTGCTGAACGAGCCTAATTAGTCTCAACCATCTCTCTGGAGAAATTTCCCAAGGTTCCCTAGGATACCTGGCTGGTCCTACAATATTTCTAAATGATCTGTCTTCCTTTCACCCTGGAAGCTACTGAGCGACAGACACAGTATTTATTCTGCTCACTCTTGAATTCTGAGCATCTAACACAACACCTCACATATGATAGGTGCTAAAATGAATATTTACAACATAATTTGTTAATACACTGTCTAACATATAATAATATGACATATTAATATATAAAACATAGTTTACATATTAAAACATCATATATATCATAAAATTAAAAAATGAGTATTCTTGTGGGCAATAAAGAGATTGTTAAAGGTTATAATCTTATTTTTCTCTTTTAAGGTATCTGCAAGGCCATGCCATTTTTAACATTTCTGAAACGTGCTGAAGAACTGATTCCACATGGGTTTATTACCAGTTTGGGGGAAAATAAAAGCATTTTCTGAGCATCCAGTTCTGAGAGGGGTGTGAAGTAGGCTTCCTGGAGGAGGTAATGCCTGAACAGAACCTTCAAGAATGAGAATGCATTAGGGCTAGACAGTCCCAGAGATAGAGAGACAGAGGTAGAGACAGAGATGGAGACAGAGATGGAGACGGAGACAGACAGAGAGAGACGGAGATAGACAGAGATAGAGAAAGGGCTGGGCACTGTGGCTCACACCTGTAATTCCAGCACTTTGGGAGGCTGATGTGGTTGGATCACTTGAGATCAGGAGATAGAGGCCAGCCTGGCCTACGTGGTGAAAACACATTTCAATAAAAGAACAAAAATTAGCCAGGCACGGCGGCATGTGCCTGTTATCCCAGCTACTCAGGAGGCTTGGGCAGGAGAACTGCTTGAACCCGGGAGGCAGAGGTTGCAGTGAGCTGAGATTGTACCACTCTACTCCAGCCTGGGCAACAGAGTGAGACTGGCTGAAAAAAAAAAAAAAAAAAAAAAAAGGGAGAGAGAGAGACAGAGATAGAGAGAGATTCTCTCTGCTGGGAAGAGGTCTTGATCTAATCTTCCTCAGGGAGGGAAAGTGAGAGGGGCGGGGCACACCTGGGCAGCGTCGACAAGGTCTCCTTCCCAAACTGCCTGCTCCTCACTCTGCCCAAGGCCGTGTTGCAGGGCAGGGAGAGTCCTGGGCCAGGAATTGGAAGGCACGGCTTCTATCCAGCTCCTGCCTCTGGGAGTTCTGCGGCCTGCGGCCAGGCACAGAGCTTTTTCAGCTTCCACTGCCTTCTCCGAAAATTGAGGACAATAAAACCCACCCATCTCCTCTTTATAGTTGTTATAAGGAGCAAATACTACAACAAACGTGAAAGTGCTTTGTAAACACAAAGTTTTATGTAAACAAATTAAGTGCTACACTGATACAAACACTGGGAGAGTGAAAGTATTTGAGAGGAATCAACACTAAATTAAGATACAAGCACTTTGTAGAGCTCCAGCTTTTAAAGGTGTATTAATTCTGTTAAACATACACCAACAACTTTTGGGAAATATTTTAGAAAAAAAATCATGGAGAAAAATGGAGGTTGCTAAAAACATGATAATAAATGTTGCAACAAACAATACCAATTACCGCAACTCTTGGTCTGTACACGTGGCCAAGAGGATCTTCACTGGAGCAATAAAAATAGAAAATGGCCTTTTAAAATCTCTTCTCAGCCATAGTAAATCAAATTAAGAGATCCATGGCAGTGTGACAAAATTACACTCTGCTGAAAAAACAAACATGCAAATCATTAGCTAACATTATTAAATGCAGAGGAGACCAATATTAAATTCATCTAAAAGATGATGGCTTATTACATTTTCTGAGAGGCCCAAATGCATTATTTAGTTAGGAGGCTTTTAGGAATGCAATGCTTATAAGGGAAAAAAAAATGGATGAAAATGCTGTTTTCTTCCAGAATTTTGCTCCTGGATTTCCTACTCACCCCCACTGCAAAGATTCCTCTCTATAGCTTCTGCGTAATCCCCAAACCTTTCTGGAGGTGTGACACTCGATAATTGGATTGATTTCATGACAACGTCTCTATTCTTTTCTCCCAGCTTTTCATTAAGTTTCTGAATGCCATTTATTTATTAAATTAAGTTAATTAAAATTAATAGTGTTTTGATAATCTGGAGATGCCCTCTTGGGAAAATTGATACATTATGGGAGATAACAGGGTTTTGTCAATTAAGGAGAGGCAAACCCACCATTGCTGAGGCTGCTGTTCAGCACTTCAGGTTTTTGCATGTGTATATGTGCATGTGTGGTATTTAAAGAAGCTGAATTGACTGAAGGTCTGCATTAAGACTAGAATACATCACTTACAGTGACATTTTCTATATAACAGCATTGAATTAAGTTTCCCCTCCTTAACTGCATTGGCAAGAATATCTCCTTGATATTAGGGAAATGTGGGATTCTCTTTTTGTCTCTTTCTAAATGACACCCTTAATAGAACCAATGTCTACCTCAGACATCACGATTCTTGAAGAGAAATAACTTGATTCTTTTTGGCGATTGCTAGTCTGGGAAACGGCCATCTAGTTCATCCTGGGTCCACAAGGTGAGCCACACGACCTTTGACAGATAGTGCTTTAGTTTCTTCATTAGAAAGACAAAGACAAGGCTGTCATCCTTTGCGACTCTGGGAGGAAGATACTAATGCTCAAAAACATGATTCCCAACTGGCCTCTTTCTATGCTTCAGTATAATTGATTCTTTTATTTTGATGCAATGAGCATAAATCTCATTAAGCTGAAGGCATATAAGGTCAGTGTGTGGGGTTAAAGAGGGAAGTGGTGTCTAAATGATAGTTTCCGAATGCTTAGAATAATTTTGCCCTGAACATCAAGGCGCAAGCATTTGAGCTTTTGTATTTGAGCTTTGATTAAAGGAATGTTAACATGTCTGGGCACAAAACACTGCCAGCGATTTAAGAATGTGCATTATCATTACTTTGCATGCCAGGTAATAACAACAGGCATAATAATACATGAAAGCCATAATTTATTGCACCTTTACTTTTTCCTGGCACTGTGTTAGCACTTTAAGTAATAAGCACAGCTAACATTTTTGAGCAGTTCTGTGTGCCAGGCACTGTAATATATGTTTTTACACATGGTACCTAATAGGACACTTACAATAGCAAATATATATATATTTCTTGGGATATATTGGGATTTCTTGGAAACACACACACACACACACACACACACACACACACACACACATTTATCATTGTCTCCATTTTGCAAGTGAAGATACAGCATTGCGTTTCAGAAAGGTTATATCATTTGTTTAAGGCCATATAGCAAGAAAGTGGTAAAAATGTTTCAAATGGGACCCTTCCAATGGTCCTGGGAGGGGCTAGCCCTATCTCTGAGGTTGTCTGGCATAACTAACACAAAACAGCTGTGGGGCGGTGGTTGGTTATGACATCAATAAGCAATCACTCTTCATGTACATAGCAAATGTCTTACTCTCTTCTGCTCCCAAATGGACAAACCTAAAGGAATCATTAATCATGCCCAACCTTGAGAGTAAGTTTTCCCCTCCCAAGGAAGCCTTGCTGCTCACAAAATAAGTTCTAGTCTCCTTGGGTCAAGTTATTATCTGGCGGAAAGTCACAACAGGGAGTGTGACTGCCAACCTGATGTATCCTGTGTGCCCTGTCAGAAAATGGTACAGCCTTTGTCAGAACTGAACTTTTTAGGAAAAGCATAGGACCTTTGTCAATATACCCTAACTCTTACACCTAGAAATTAAAAAGAATGAGAAAAATATGGAAAAAATTCAGGGGAAGATTAGCCCACCATCAACATTAATCACACTAAATAACTTCCCACGCAGATAAAAATGATACAATGATACGTAGCAGCATAAACTCCGGTCATCAGGGCCGTTTAGCACGTTGCAGTCTTTGTTCATCTGACCATATGCATATGCATTTATTGTATGCCTGCGACGTGCCAGGGATTGTACTGAACACCAGAGGCACAACAAGAGTCCCCCCCAGTGACAGAGTCATCTAAATCAATGTGACCAGCTCCTGTAACAAGAGCAGATGCGCAGTGTATTTTGGAAGTAGGGAGGAGGAGCACTTGAGTTAAGTAATTCAAAGGGCTGTATTCATTCACAGCAGTTTCATAAGGATTATGCCAGCAGTCTGTCTTGCTATTTAAGTTGTTTTCCTTTACCTTGTTCTTCTTGATTTTCTTCATTCTCTAATTCTTTGGCTGCAAAGATGTCTTTAATGGAAATTAGGTCATTTTTTAAGAGTTCCAGCTTCTCTCCATCAAGTGATGCTAAAAATGACTGAATCTGAAAAAAAGAAATAGGTCAGCACAACTGCCATCTTCCCTTCTCAATAACAACATTTACATTCGGTGGTCCCCAGTTTTCCCAGGACTGAAGTGATTCACAGCATAGGAGGTATCACTTTGTTGAATGTTGGCTTCATGCATATTAACTGTGCAACTTGGGGCACGTTAGATAAGCTCTCTAGGTCTCAGTTTTCTCAGGTTTAAGGTGAGATTCTTTGTGGAGTAAATGAGATAGAAAATGTGAAGTACATTGAGCAACTGCACACAGTAGGTGCTACATAAATGGTGGTGGTAGCTCTTCTATCACAGTGGTTGAAAACGCAGTTTGACATCAACCCTGAAGTCAAATATCAGTTCTTCACTTACTATGACCTTCAGTAACTTATGTGAGTTGTTACGGAAGGTCAGCTTCCTTATCTGTAAAATGGAAACTAATTGCATCTAACTTACAAGGTTGCTTCGAAGGTGAAATGAAGTAATCTACTGAAAATACTTATAGCGATGCTCAATACTTATAACTATACATGCATACCCATATAAACGTAAATAAATAAGCATTCTATAGCTGCACATATATACTTGCTAGATGTCAGTTATCATACTGGGGTTACAAAAATGCATAAGACACATATTTTTCTTCTCCACCATCTTGCAGTCTAAAGGGTGAGGCTGTGTCAACCAAGAGCGACCCTGACAGTCATGAGAGGAGGGTGCAGTGGAGGGAGGAAGGGCACTGTCCTTCCCCCTTGGGGAACTGAGAGGGCACACACTGGGAGGACTTCACAGAGGAGGAGACGCTGGGACTGATGTCATCCCTGCTCACCGTTTTCAGAGCCTCTCTTTTGAAACTATCCTCTGTGCATGGTTAAAAATTATTTGTACAAGCCAGGTGTGGTGGCTCACCCTTGTAATCCCCAGCACTTTGGGAGGCTGAGGCGGGAGGATCACTTGAGCCCAGGAGTTTGAGGCCAGCTTAGGCACCAAAGTGAGACCCCCATCTCTATAACAAATCTTAAGAAAATTAGCCAGGCATGGTGGTGCACGCCTGTGGTCCCAGTTGCTCAAGAGGCTGAGGTGAGAGGATTGCTTGAGCCCAGGAGTTTGAGGCTTCAGTGCATGATTGTGCCACTGCATTCCAGCAAGATCCTGCCTCCAGTACGTACATATATTTGTACAGATGGCCATTCATTCTCTGAAGATTTATGTGCACTTCCAAAATGGTAAGCATGGGGAAGGCACCATAGAAAACATTAATTATAAGTATAAAGTAGTAAATTTTTATTTTTTCATTCTGCAGGTCAAACTGTTGCTCTGGAGAGAAAGCCAGCAGTGGAGCCGCAGTCCTCTTTGGAATAGGTTTTAATATTCATTATGGTAATAGATGAGCACATCAGGATAAGTGAGAGAGGATAAGAGAGAGCATCTGAAATACCAGGACACCATTTTCCGAAGGTTGCTAAAGCACATTGCCAGGGCCTAATGCAGCCAGCGCTGAGGCCCTGGGAGGAAGCTCTGCAGGAAGTCATCAACACAAAACCCATTAGCGTGGAGTTCAGCAGGTGGAAGTCAACATGCCCAGCCTGACGGCCGCATGCACCGCTTTCTGCCCTGACCTTCTCAGACTCTTCATTTCAGCTCACACACTCATGTTTGGGTGTCAGGGTCCCAGATGAACATCAGCATATTCTTAGGTTTCAGATCTATTGTCTAAACAGCAGTTTTCTAACATTCATTACTGAGTAAATGTGTTTGAATACCATGCTTAGTGAAGAGGTATGCAGACCCATGGAACATTTTGGTTTGCCCATGTCTTCTGGTAGATGGCAATCATCCAGAAGGGAAAGCACTGGGGTTTTCCATTTGGGGCACCCCTGGGAAAGGTTCTCTTTAGCAAAGCACTCTTTCGTTGGCATCTTTGTACTACAGCATCTCTTCTGCTTTCTCCTAGTTCCCTGCATTATGCCAAGGCCATGTGCATTGGATCTTTAGTTCAATCCAATAATAAATAAGACATAATCATGCGCTCCTCCATAAATACTTGTGGAATGCTGACTATATGCTTGGCACTATGCTAAGTGTTGTCCAGGACACAGAGTAGACAGATTGTCTTATAAATCTTTTCCTTGAAAGGAGGTGTGTGCTGCCATTGTAAAGATATTTGTTTACTATTTCTAAATATGCAGCATAATGGTGATGAAAATGATTAGTTTTTCTTTTCTTTTCTTTTTTGTTTTTTTTTTTTGAGACAGGGTCTCACTCTGTCCCCCAGGCTGGAGTGCAGTGGTGCAATTTGGCTTACTGGAACCTCCACCTCCCTGGTTCAAGCGATTCTCCTGCCTCAGCCTGCTGAGTAGCTGGGACTACAGGTACACAACATCATACGCGGCTAATTTTTGTATATATTTTTTTTATACAGACAAGATTTCTCTGTGTTGTAGGCTGGTCTCGAATTCCTGATCTCAAGTGATCCACCCATCTTGGCTTCCCAAAGTGTTGGGAATACAGGTGTGAGCCATCGCACCTGGCCAAAAATGATTAGTTTACCTTTAACCTTTATCAAATACCACATCACCATGCCTGTTGTCACCTTAGAATCAATCTAGTAAAATAGTAATGATAATAATTCCTTATATTTCCATGATGGTGTCTGAGTTTCAGCCAAGGGACTGTCAGCAGAGATGATATGCATCATTTCTGGGCCAAGGTTTTTAAAACATGGCAGTGCCCTCTCTGCACTCTCTCTCCTTATGCTGATGTGATTCAGAAGACAGTTAGGTGTCAGAGGATGGGGAAATCCAACACTGCCTTTAGGCTTCGACACAGGGGAGTCCCCAGGCCCAAGAAATGCCCCCCCCCCCCAGAGCCCATATCTCCCTTCTAGAACACTCTCCAGGTCACCAAAGGTTCCCTCTCCCAGCCTGCAAAGAACTCTTCCCTAGGCTGTGCTCTTGAAGGTGAGACGGTGCCATTGGCTGTGTATCCCTTGGCCCAAGGGATGGATGGCTAAGAGGTGGCTGTTTACAGGGGGTGTGGGTGGAGCTTGAACTAAGGCATCCTCCCACAGGCACATAACTGTTCCCTGAGGTGAGAGATAGAGCTGCAGATAGGAGGTGGGCAGGCTGAAGGGGAGTGTAGAAATTTGAGGAGTCTGGGAATTCGAATGGGAACTTGGCCTTCCAGGTCGTTTGTTATGCAAGTATATTTGTCAAGGTAAGAAGACAGAATACATTTGCTTTAACAGTCTGTTTCTAAAGTTCTTTAGATTTTTAATTTTTATTATTTTTGAGACAGTCTTATTCTGTTGCCCCCATTGGAGTGCAGTGGCACCCCCACAGTGGTGCAATCTCAGCTCATTACAACCTCTGCCTCCCGGGTTCAAGTGATTCTTGTGACTCAGCCTCCCAAGTAGCTGGGATTACAGGCATGTGCCATCACACCTGGCTAATTTTTGTATTTTCAGTAGAGATGGGTTTTGCCATGATGGCCAGGCTGGTCTCGAACATCTGGCCTCAGGTGATCCACCTGCCTTGGCCTCCCAAAGTGCTGGGATTACAGGCATGAGCCACTGAGCCCAGCCAGCTCACCCAGTTTTGCATCTACCGTAGGCCCAGGCGTATACCACCATGCCTGGCTAGTTTTTGTATTGTTAGTTGAGACGGGGTTTTGCCATGTTGATCAGGCTGGTCTTGAACCCCTGGTCTCAAGTGATCTGCCCACCTCAGCCTCCCAAAGTGCTGGGATTACAGGTGTAAGCCACTGAGTGGCCCAAAAGTTCTTTAACTTTTAAATATTTGGGATGTGTAAGGTTGCAAGATAAAATACAGGACACCTAGCTGAGCTTGAATTTCAGATAAACAGTGAATATTTTCTTCATATAATTGTGTGTCCCAAATATTGCATGAGACATATTTACACTAAAAAATTATTCATTGTTCATCTAAAGTTAAAATTTAACAGTCATCTTGTATTTTTATTCACTACATCTGACAACCCCAGTCTAAGCCTCCATTTGTTTTCTTGCTGGAGACCTGTGCACATTGGAATGGGTCTGGCGGAGTCACAAGATGGACACAGCCTTGTTCCTGAATCCCTAATTGCAGGAATGCTGCCCGCTGACCAGGCACTCCTATCTTGGATTATTACAGGAGTGAAGAATAACTCTTACCGTTTTTGACCCATACATTTGTCGGGCTATTTATTACAGTACCCCGTAACTATCATTACACAGTCAAGGCAAACATTTATGTTCCTTACTATGAATATCACAAAAACCTCTGACTAGGGAAAGAACCCAGAGCTTATGGAGGCAATAGGCAAACTGTGCCCTCCAAGGGCCAAACCGTCTTCCCAGAAACGAAGTCCTTTGGGGCTCTTTTCCAGGGGCCTGGGGCTGTTTCACGGCTGAGAGCTGTGATGGAAGCCACCCCCATGGAATCATTCTCCGCTATGATATCTTGTAACTTTTTTTTTTTTTTTTTTACTGCAGGGCCATGCTCCCCTGTGATGTTTTTAATAATAACGGAAAATATATATGACATAAGAAGGCATAGAAAAATCAAATGTCATAACGTGTACACTGAGTGCTTACTTACGTGCGTGTTAGTCATGCTGCTACGAGCTTTCTGTGGATCATCTCACTGAATTCTGTTAATAATTCTGTGAGGTAGGTTTTATTATTCCCATTTCATAGATAAGGAGATTGAGGTAAGAGGCCTCCAAAATCATACAGCTTTTGTGTGGTGTTTCATTAAATAATGTCTGACTCCAGATTTTGCTTTTGTAAGAAAAAATGTGTGATTTCATGGAGACCTGCTTTTCTTTCTTTCTTTCTTTCTTTTTTTGAGACAGAGTCTTTCTCTGTTGCCCAGGCTGGAGTGCAGTGGCATGATCTTGGCTCACTGCAACCTCTGCCTCCTGGGTTCAAATGATTCTCCTGCCTCAGCCTCCCAAGTAGCTGGGACTACAGGCTTCTGCCATCATACCCAGCTTTTTTTTATTTTTGGATTTTTAGTAGAGACAGGTTTTCATCATGTTGGCCAGGCTGGTCTTGAACTCCTGACCTCAGGTGATCTGCCCACCTCAGCCTCCCTAAGTGCTGGGATTAAGGCATGAGCCACCACGCCCGACTGAGCACATCCTACTGGACTATAAGATTCTGAATTTATGGGAGCAATTTCATGCCTGTAAATTTTAAAGGGCTGGTAACAGTGCAAAGTCATTCTTGTCAATAGTCATGTGAATGAATTCTGTGCAATGGGAGGATAACCTCTCCAATGTGGAAAAGCGGGTTTGTGTCTTCTGGCACATTCATATTTCTTTTTTTTTTTAATTTTACTTAAGTTCTGGGGTACATGTGCAGGACGTGCAGATTTGTTACATGTGCCACGGAGGTTTGCTGCACCCATCAACCTGTCATCCATATTAGGTATTTCTCCTAATGCTACACCTCCCCTTGCCCCCCACCCACCGACAGGGCCCAGAGTGTGATGTTCCCTCCCTGTGCCCATATATTCATTGTTTGACTTCACTTATGGGTGAGAGCATGCAGTGTTTGGTTTTCTGTTCCTGTGTTATTTTGCTGAGAATGATAGTTTCCAGCTTCATTCATGTCCCTGCAAAGGACATGAGCTCATTCTTTTTTATGGCTGCATAGTATTCTATGGTATATAGCCACATTCCTATTTCTACATCCTTTACTCCATACACATTTGTGCTTCTGTGGCTTTTCCTTTGAATCACTTGCAACATCTGCCTGGTTCCCTGAAATAATTAATGACCTAATTAAATTATTTAACATGGGTCATTTTGTATTTGTATGAGAGTCCCAATTTCGCCGTTTTTTTGAAAATTATTCTTGAACAGCTTTAACCACAAGACGCAGGGGACAGTGTCTCCATCCTATTTGGTTCTTGGTTGCCTGTTATGTGGCAGATGTTGCCTTTTTCTGATTAGACAGGCATCAAGAATGGCCCCAAGTCTAAACATAAGAAGATAAGGTCTCGGGAGAGTAAAAAAACTACTCCATTCTAAGGCTCACTGCCAAAGTGAGCTTCCTGTCTGGGGATCTGCCCCTCCTCAGTGAATGTCACTATGGCCCCTCCCTCTCCGGAGGTCCAGAGGGTACTTGGCCTCCACTAGAAAACCACCCCAGAGTCGCTGGTTGTGGTGGCTCACGCCTGTAATCCCAGCAATTTGGGAGGCCAAGGCAGGCGGATCACCTGAGGTCAGGAATTCGAGCCCAGCCTGGCCAACATGGAGAAACCCCGTCTCTACTAAAAATACAAAAAAAAAAAAAAAAAAAAAAAAATTAGCTGGGCATTGTGGCGGTCCCCTGTAATCCCAGCTGCTCCAGAGGCTGAGGCAAGAGAATTGCTTAAACTTGGGAGTCGGAGGTTGCAGAGATTGCGCCACTGCACTCCAGCCTGGGTGACAGAGCAAGACTCCATCTCAAAAAAAAAAAGAAAAGAAAAGAAGAAAACCACCCCAGAGCACAGTCAACCTGACATCCACACACAAAAAAAGCTACATAAATAGTTAAATAAGTTAACTGTTTTATGGTATTTAGAATAGTGGCTATATAAGTGTCATATAAGTGCTTGCTAAATAAACACACATACACACACACACACACACACACACACACACTCCATTGTAGATACTTTAAGGGAAAAAAATCACCAGCCCCTGCTGACTTTTGCTAGTCATCTTTTGTTTTCCTGGGATCAAGTGGGGAAAGATGAATGTGCAGGGCCATTGGGTAGGCTGGGTTTCCCAGGGGTCTGTATGGATTTCCCAGGTGTCTATTAGGGACCACGGAAGTGGTCCCTAATAGAACTTACCCTTCAGTAGGATAAGCCTGCCCCTTTGAGGCCCCGGTGTCCTAACAAGATGGCTGAATAAATAACTATATAACCCATACGACAAAATATATTAAAACCCTGCAGTCTAAAAGAAACATCAAGTGCTTTGTTTTAATTGGGTAGGAATGAGGATGTGGGCTGGCAGGGCATCTCAGACCTGGGTACTTCGTCACCAAAGGGAGGCAGAGGGCCAGAAGCCTGACAGCCACATTTCTGAGCGGCCTTTTGCATCATGAAGTGGGGGGACAGTGGTGGCTTTTACTGTGCCAGCCTTCTTGGAGCTAGGCTGGGGTAATAGCTTGGCGTAGGACAGAAAAGAGATTAAATGGAGCTTGAGAATCATTACATTGTACAGTATTTGTGACCTTAGCATAACAATGAGGCTCTAAAAGTGAGATTTTTTTTTCTTTTCTTTTTTTTTCGATACAGAGCCTCCCTCTGTCACCCAGGCTGGAGTGTAGTGTTGTGATTTCGGCTCACTGCAACTCTTGGTTCACTGCAACCCTTGCCTCCCAGGTTCAAGCGATTCTCCTGCTTCAGCCTCCCAAGTAGCTGGGATTACAGGTGCCTGCCACCATGCCTGGCTAATTTTTGTATTTTTAGTAAAGATGGGATTTCACAATATTGGCCAGGCTGGTTCTTGAACCCCTGACCTTGTGATCCACCTGCCTCAACCTCCCAAAGTGCTGGGATTACAGGCATGAGCCACTGTGCCCGGCCAAAATGAGATCTTGTAATGGCTGATTTTCCAGTTTCTGTGATGCCTAAGCAAACACACTACTAAACATGCTATTTCAAATGAGTAGTGCAGAGGTACCTTGCTTTCGCTTTCATTGGACAGAATTTCCAGGGCTTCCAGGTGTGATAAACCTTGGTATTCATCAAACAGCATCCCGTAGTGGGCAGTTCTCTCCACCGTGAGCTGCTGTGCCAGTCTCTGCTTCTCTTTCTCCTTAGCTTCCCTTAACATCTGCAGAAATACACAATGTTTGTACTCTGGATATATATTTAAAAGCACCATTTCCTGTGTAAGACATGGGGGAGGTGAGGAGGACTGACTCTGTATTGGAAAAGGCGAGATTCTGGTCCCTTTGGAATTTCTACAAAATGATATTTTTGATTGATGCTACTGATAACTTTTACATCATATCCTACTTTGCATTTTACATGTTCATTATGTGAAAAGCAAAACAAAGCAAAATTTCTATGGCTGGGAATAAACTGGAAAGAACACATCAAAAGCTTTAACAGTGGCTTCCACTAAAGTGTTTCCCACGTGTGTCATTCACTTTCTTATTTTATTTTATTTATTTCTTAAATTTTATTTTATTTTATTTTTTGAGATGAAGTCTCACTCTGTTGCTCAGGCTGGAGTACAGTGTTACAACCTCGGCTCCCTGCAACCTCTGCCTCTGGATTCAAGCCACTGCTGTGCCTCGGCCTCCTGAGGAGCTGTGACTACAGACCCTTGTCACCATGCCCAGCGAATTTTTGTATTTTTTGGTAGAGACAGAGTTTCACCAGTTGGCCAGACTGGTCTTAAACTCCTGACCTCAAGTGATCTGCCCACCTTGGCCTCTCAATGTGCTAGGATTACAGGTGTGAGCCACTGCACCTGGCCAATTTTCTTATTTTCTAAAGTCCCCAAATTTTCTATTATGAGCAAGTGTTGTGTATGCTTGAAAAGTTGAATCTCTTATGACAGTGTTAACTCCTGTACCTATACAGGCTTCAAAGCAGAAATAAGCTGGTCTCATTTGTTCTAAGTTGTTTTCTATATATATATATATATATATATATACACACACACACACACACACACATACAGAGCAAGACTCCATCTCAAAACAATAAAACAAAAAAGTATATTAGCTTATAGATTCTTAGGCTGGTTTCCAGAAATATGACTGTGAACCAAATTTCCTCTCCCCATTATTGTTTGTTGATTAAATAAAATGACAACGCACAAACACAAGTTCCATCAGTTACTCCCAATTTTCTGCACTTGCGTTCTTTGATTCAAAGCATCTTTTATGTGATTCCTCATTAAGTTTACTGAGGCATTACGTTTATGGGGTTTTCTAATTTCTGTGGAGAGCACTGTAAAGACACTGGCCACCACCACAAGGTCACAGGGGAAGGGACACGAAGAAAAGATTGTGGTTTTTATTCTGTGCCAGTAAAACAATCAGCCTCATCTCCTTTTGGGTTCTCAAGGTTGTCTGCCAAGAACCCACTGGGCTGCAGAGAGAATTCTCTCTCCTGTCTGTCTTTAAGATGAAATTAGTACTCTGAATTTTAAAGTTTTTCAAACAACCCAATGAAACTATCACTGGAAAATTTTAACACTGGCAGTAAAAACTAACTGCCCCCACTGATCTCAGGGCTTGGTGGTGGTAAAATAAAATAACAAAGTAACACTGAAATAACTTCCTTTCTCTCTCTTTTTTTTTTTTTTTTGAGACAGAGTCTTTCTCTGTCACCCAGGCTGGAGTGCAGTGGTGCCATCTCGGCTCACTGTAACCCACACCCCCCCAGGTTCCAGCAATTCTCTTGCATCAGCCTCCCGAGTAGCTGGGATTACAGGTGCCTGTCACTGCGCCAGAATTTTTTTTTTTTTTTTTTTAGTAGAGACAGGGTTTCAACATCTTGGCCAGGCTGGTCTTGAACGCTTGATGTAGTGATCCACCCGTCTCAGCCTCCCAAAGTGCTGGGATTATAGGTGTGAGCCACCACGCCCGGCCATCACTTCCTTTCTCTACACGAGCTTCCACCTCTGAATCTGGGCTTTGGGAGAGAGGAAAGAAGGGATAAAACTGAAGAGAAAGGGAAAGGGTCACTCTGGCATGATGCAGATTCACCCAAAACTGGGGAGTAGGCCAGGTGAGGTGGCTCACACCCGTAATCCCGCACTTTGGGAGGCAAAGGTGGGCAGATCACTAGGTCAGGCGTTTGAGACCAGCCTGGCCAATATGGTGAAACCCTGTCTCTACTAAAAATACAAAAAATTAGCCAGGCATGGTGGCAGGTGGCTGTAATCCCAGCTACTCAGGAGGCCAAGGCAGGAGAATTGCTTGAACCTGGGAAGTGGAGGTTGCAGTGAGCAGAGATCATGCCACTGCACTTCAATCTGGGTGACAGAGTAAGACTGTTTCAAAAACAAAAACAACAAAACTAGGGAGTGAAATTAAAGATGCCTAAGGGATAACCAGCTTGACAAGGGATGCTGGTTCTATTTTCCCTCTGGAAGAGAAAAGGAAGCGGGTTTCAATAGCAGGGAGTGATCCTGGCCAAGAAGAATTCCTGACTCAGGGAAGCTATGGAACTCCCTGTCACCATGTTATTTAAACATTATTCTCTGTGCTTGGCTGGGCGCGGTGGCTCATGCCTGTAATCCCAGCACTTTGGGAGGCCGAGGTGGGCAGTTCACCTGAGGTCAGGAGTTCAGGACCAGCCTGGCCAACACGGTGAAACCCCATCTCTACTAAAAATACAAAAATTAGCCGGGCATGGCGCTGCACACCTGTAATTCCAGCTACTCAGGAGGCTGAGGCAGGAGAATCACTTGAACCCAGGAGGCGGAGGTTGCAGTGAGCCAAGATTGTGCTACCGCACTCCAGCCTGGATGACAGAATGAGGCTCTGTCTCAAAAGAAAAGAGAAAGAAAGAAAGAAAAAGAAAAGAAAAATAAAGAAAGTATTCCCTGGGCTACTGGGATAAAAATACATGAGTAATTTAGGTAGTGCATACATGCACACTCCTGGTTTCTAGAGTTCTGAATTTCTTTAGTGTGTAAAGGAAAAATATAACAGATTTCCCTGTTTCAGCTGTGTGAGCTACATCCTTCCAGTTGTCTGAAAGACCTTAGAGCCATCCCTGACAACTCCTTTTATCTCATAGCTGACATTCACTCCAACAGGAGATCTGGAAGTATCTTCAAATTATACCCGGAATCAGCCATTCCTCACTGTCTACAAGGCCTCCATGGTGCCCGGGGCCACCGTCATAGCCTGTTTAGATAAGCAATTGAGAGTGCAATTGCCTTCGGTGGAGGGTGTGAGAGTGCAACCCGAATACCTCCCGCCTCGCCTACTCCCCGGACTTCGAAATCCAGCCTTCAGCCCCCACAGTTCCTCCCTGCTAATCACAGGTGCAGCAGGACACTAAGGCAGACCTTTACCGAAAGATGAGGTCTCCTTTGTCAGCAGCGTTTGGCTGATGGGTTTTCCCATGGCTTCGCCCAGCCTTTCCTCTAGGACACTTCCACCCATTCTTCTCTCCCTCTTCCCTTCGCTGGGGTGGGACTGGCATCTTGGTCTAATGGTTCTCTCAGCATTCCTGGGCTCCCTCCCCATTTTCTCTCACACAAGCACCTCCCCTACTAAAATCCTTGCATGTTTAAGCCCATCTTGGTGTCTGTTTCTGGGAGGCCCTAGATGGATACACATTCTAACCAGTCTCCCTGCCTTGGTCCCTCCAGTCCATTTTCTACACAGGAACTAGAGTGATCTTGTTAAAGCACAAAGCAGATTCTGTCACTTCTTTTCTCAAAATGCTGCAATGGTTTCCCCATTTCACGAACAGTAAAACCAAAGGTCCTTACAAATGTCTGCCGTGATCTGCCATCGCCACTCCCCATCACCACTCTGGTGTCCTCTTTAACAACTCTCACCTGGCGCTCATGCCTCCGCATCACTGGCATCCTGCTGTTCTGTGTTCATACCAGACACTCCTGCCTCAGGGCCTTTGCATGAGTTCCCCCCTGCCTGGAATGAGCTTTACTCAGATTCCTGCATGGCTGACCCTCTCATCAGCTTCAAGTATTTGCTCACATGTCATCATCTGCCCAAGGCCCCCTCACTCTCCTACTTAGCACTTGGCCTGCCCCTCACACCCACATTCCTGATCACCTCTTCCTATTCTACTCTGGCTTTTTCCCAAGGCACTCGTCTCTTTCTCAAAAACTAGATAATGTCGGTTTGTCTCTTCTCATTAAAATAAAAGCTCTTTAAGGGTAAGAGTTCTTATCCATTTTGGCTATTAATGTATCCCAAGTGCTTGAAACAGTGCCTGGAACAGAGTTGACATCCAAAATGCATTTGTGGATGAATGGATGGATGAAAAATCCCTGTTTCGAGGGAGGTTAACGTGAGTAGTGCTGTGATGATCCAGGTTGCACAGGCACCTATCATGTGAATTATAGGTGCAACGCTCAGGTGTGCCCAGAAGGTTCCGTATCTTACTCCCTGCCATAATGGTTCAGATGTGTGATTAAAAAAAACACACTGCAGATGGCTAGTGTGGTTCTTGGGTGACACATTTCTAAGAGCATTGCGACTGACAATTTATGGGCAGTGCTACTTTTTAACGGATTACATGCAGATGTGATAAAAATTGTGACTGGTACAAAAGTTATGATAATCTGGGAAACCAACCTAGCCCAATTATTCATTTTATAGCCAAAGAAGCCATAGAATTAGCCAGTTTTTGGACTCAGTCTCGTTTTTTCCACCTTATCACTATCTTAACTTGAATTAAATATGTATGTGTATACACACACATACACATATGTTTGCATGTACGTTTGTGTGTATAAAAATCCATATACAGATTAGGTTGGGCGTGGTGGCTCACTTCTATAATCAGAGCACTTTGGGAGAATGAGGCCAGCATGGTGAAACTCCATCTCTACTAAAAATACAAAAATTAGCTGGGCATGGTGGCATGTGCCTGTAGTCCCAGCTACTCGAGAGGCTGAGGCAGGAGAATTGTTTGAACCCAGGAGGCAGAGGTTGCAGTGAGCTGATATATATAAAAATCTTATAGCAAACATATTCCTATATACTCATCAAATATCCTTTTCCTTTCAGACACACAGCTAACCTATCTCTATATCTCAGCCCTCTTCAGTTCAGTTGGGTGGTCTATGTGATAAGTCTTGGCCAATAATATGAGGGTGAAAGTGATGTATGCCATTTCCCGGCCTAGTCCTCAATTGGCCCATTTTGCCTTCCACATCCCCTCTCTGTGAAGCTGGAGGTAAGGATTTCAAGATGTTGGAGCCAGAAGATGTGGGGTCAGAAGTGAGCTCCCCATGAGAGCCCCCTGGGACAGAGCCTCCTGTGGGACCAGGAATGTTCATGCTGCACTTTGTGGGAGTGAAAGGTAAACCTTTTTGTTCTAAGTCACACTGATACTTGGGGGTGACTGTTCTTTTATGACATCTAGTGTTAACGACCTAAGTAATACTAACCTATTTTCTTTATTAAGGAGCAGGAGGGTGACGTCTAGACGATCCTGCAATGTCCCTACCTGGACTATAACATCAGAGTGGTCCTACTTGGGCTATTCCAAAAGAGACAAGAAAAAATAGCCTAAAACAAAAGCTTCTGAGGGTTGCCATGAACATATTCTCAGTGATAGTCGTTCATGAAGGCAACCTTCATGGGTTCCTAGTACCCAGTCCTGCCTGTGACATTTACAAAATCCACCGCTGCATGAGCTGCCTCTGATTTCAGGAAAGCACAGAGACCTTGTGTGTCAGTCTCAGGGAGGAGGCAGACTGGGGCATGCCTGCACTGTGGGCTAACCTGGGCATGTTCACTGGAAGAGCAAGTTTAATGTTAGAGTCCAATGTGGAAAATAAGACAAATACTATTCGTATAAGTAACTCGCTTAAGATCACGAAGCTAGTAAGTGGTAGAGATGAGATGCATGCAATGGGATAAGTGGATCATCTTCAAGAAATTCTAATATTAAGTGAATTAGGCAAGGTAAAAAGATGTGTTTAGTATGCTACCACTGGGTTGAAAAAGTATGTGTGTAGTTATGTGTATGTCTATCCACATGCATACAGATACACTCACATATCTGTATATTTATGTATAGCTGCATCTATGTATCTATATCCATATCTATATGCTGTCTCTGATGGAATCCTTAAGAAACTGTTAACAGTGGTTGTCTCCTCTGAGGAATTCAGTGGCTGGGAAAACGGGGATATTAGAAGATCCATTTTCACTCTCTGTTCGTTGATTCCATTTGCTTTGAATCACATGCTTTGAATTAGCTATTCAAAAAGATAAAGAAACATTTATTTACTTTATTGACTGAAAGAAAAAATTGCAAAAGTATATAATCCAACCTGAGACAAGGAAACGGTTCTCTCCATGAGCGTCTTGGTCCGCCTAAAGCCTGGGTCACTTTCTGCAAGGACATTCATGGTTTTCTTGCCGATGAATTCCAACGCATCAAGACCTCCAGTCAAGACGCTTTTACCCTGCAGATGAGATAACCGCATGAGCTTAGATTTTTAGGTTTTGCTGTTTCGCAGCAGTCAGCAACTCCTAGGTAACGGGCACTATCTTCAAATATTAAAATCAATATAAACTCACAATTTTTTCTCATCAGGAGATTTATCATCCATTTAATCCTATTTTCTTTTCCTTGGAAAAGCGTATGTTATATAATTTGTAGGACATACAATGTTACTAAAAAATGATGCTTTGAAAAAAACCAAAGCACATAAAATAAAATTAATCCCATGAAGGGATTAATTTTACGGGCTCTCTGTGTATGAGTAGACGTGTATCTAAGACATACAGTTCACAGGTGACCCAATTGCTGTTTCTGTTTAAAAATTTTTAAACCCAAGTCACAGAGTTGCTTGGTGCAGTCTATTAAAATGTCAAATAGTCCTGCTAATTTAGGGAATTCTTTAATCTAGGGCCCGGGAGGGTAAGACCCTCAGGCTGTTTCAGATAGTTCTTGCATACTTTCAGAAACTAGCAATAACCGCCTATTATTAATCTGGGAAATAACCTAGTCCAATTCTTGAAATTCATATATTCATGAAATAAGACAGGTTGATTTCCTTGTACTTCTGGATTTAGAAACTGGTCTATTATATAGTTATCCTCCCACAAATCTCTTTTTCAGTCATTGTTTCCTTTTTTTTTTTGAGACAGTCTCTCTCTGCCGCCAGGCTGGAGTGCAGTGGCGTAATCTTGGCTCACTGCAACCTTCACCTCCAGGGTTCAAGCGATTCTCCTGCCTCAGTCTCCCGAGTAGCTGGGACTACAAGTGCGTGCCACCATTCCCAGCTAATTGTTTTGTATTTTTAGTAGAGACCAGGTTTCACCATGTTGACCAGCATGGTCTCGATCTCTTGACGTCGTGATCCACCTGCCTTGGCCTCCCAAAGTTCTGGGATTACAGGTGTGAGCCACTGCGCCTGGTCCATTGTTTCCTTTTTTTAAAAATTAAAATAACTCAGACTTTTTCACATAAACTATTCAAGTGAACAGAACTGTGTACATTTCTTTGCAACTCTTCATACATACACTCCAACTGTATAACTGCAATTATAATATGCATACATCTGTGTTTTTTTCCCACACATACAAATGATATAAATTGTATTTTATTATGATATTATTATCAACTGGCATTTTCTAAGCTTCATAATTACAATTTAAATAAAAATATTTAATTTCGTAGAATTAGTATATGCTATCTTCATCTTGGGCATGTAGACTTCGTTTTTAGATTTGGGACCCAACCAGTAATCACACTATACTGCAGATTTTTCAGTGCGCATACTTCCGGGGGATGATGCGATCACAGCAATTCACACTCCTGCATACTTTGACTTAGTGCCTGCTTACGTCCTACAAGAGATTATTTTATGGAGAATAAAATGGTGAAAGTTAGGAAACAGGAATTTGTGTAAAGATAGACCTGGAGGGGCAGTGTCTGGAACTTGGGAAAAAGGGGTCAAGAATGTTGGAGAGAACACGGAAAGGAAAGTGAGGCTGCTGAAGACAAATGCAGAGTGCCCTCTTGGTAGCTCAGACAGGCGGTGGATTCATTCCTTATACTGGAGATACTGAAAGAGCTCCATTCATCTCCCATCCTACAACCCGCCCCGCCACAGGGATGATTGACTTGTATTGCTATTTGACTCCTAAGACAGATTTGCTGCTCCTCCTTCACCCCACCCCAGTCTAGAGGTCCTCAAACAGCAAGGAGAAGAGCAGTTATTTTCTATATTTCTGTCATATCCTGATCCCAAAGTCTGCATGAGATACTCTCATGTTTGTCCACAGCCTTCGTCTCTTTCCGATTACATTGTGTTTTTCTGTTCAGTTGCCTCAGTCCTCTGGGATAATGTGTCCTCTGAAGGCTAATCATATTTGTCTTGTTGTTTTTCTTTTAATGAATGAATGAATGAATGGGACACAAGCCATATTTTTCGAAAAACTAGTTAGTTCTATGTAATAAGAAATAAACCTTCACATCTGTAATCCCAGCTCTTTGGGAGGCCAAGGCAGGCCGATCTCCTGAGGGCAGGAGTTCAAGACCAGCCTGGCCAACATGATGAAAACCCATCTCTACTAAAAATACAAAAATTAGCTGGGTGTGGTGGTGAGCACCTGTAAGCCCAGCTACTTGGGAGGCTGAGGTGGGAGAATTGCTTGAACCAGGAAGGGAAAGGTTGCAGGAAGCTGAGATCGTGCAACTGCACTCTAGCCTGGCTGACAGAGTGAGACTCCAACTCAAAAAAAACCCAAAACAAACAAAAAACAAAAACAAAAACAAAAACAAAAAACCTTTGCTCCCTGACCCTGAGGACCAGCTAGCTGCCTTATCTCAGTTGAGGTGTCTCGCTTTTTTTCATTACTCACCAATGTTTTGCTGCTAATATTGAGCTTCTTTTAAGAGGCAAGCAGGGATGCGGGGGGAGGTGGGGGGTACACTTAGGGTGATATGAGGAAGAGGAAGGGTGGGAATGGAGAAGTAGGGATGAGGGAAGAACGCTGGTCTCTGGAAACACTTCAGAAACATATTTGGCCTGTTTTTCTTGTCTTGTAACTAGTACTTTTTATTGAAATGGTTTAATGATTTTTCAAATGTAGGGATAAGATAAACAGAGCATTTAGGAAAAACAGCTGTCCCAGCTCTGACAAAGAATTCTCTCTCCCCGCAACCAGAGGCTGTCCTTGCCGCAGCTGGAAAGGACACTGTTAAATCAGACTGAAAAATGTCCCTTCCAAACAGCTCTTTTAAACATAAAATATATTTCATTTTGCCCTTATTATTTTGGACCCAAGGTTACATCTACTTTGTAGCAGAAAACATAAAAAACCCATAATCCAAAGTTCTGAGCAAGGCCATCTTTTCTCTGATGTATCTAGGTCACTGGTAAATGGAAATATCAAAAGAAGGCCCTGGGAAACATGGGGGAAAGGGAGGCAGCAGCCAGCGACTCACTGTGTTTTGAACCACGTTGGTGATGGCGGACAGCATCCCCCGAGAGGCTGATGAAGGGGAAGTGGGTGGGCTTTCTGCAGAGCCCTGATCTGTGGCCGCATCTGTTACTAAAGGGAAAAAAGAAATCCTTTGAGAGTACATGTTGCTGATCTGAACTTGGAAACCCTCTGATTATGCACATGGTGTAAGAAAGCCCAAGTCTAAGAACCACCCTGAGGAGACACATCACTCACTTTCAGAGACCCCGTTTTCAGTATCTGGTTGGGCCCCTTCGGAAGATCCAGAATTTACACCGTGAATCCGTAGAGTGGCCCCTGCTTTTTCCTTGACCGCTGTCAGTCCATGACCTATTGGGAAATAAAAATATGGTTTCTGTATACATTAGAAATCCGCAGTCTGCAAATCCTCCAGCTAATCTTACGAGGCTGTTTTCAGTTGTAGAAGTATATCCCCCCCTTTTTTTTTCTGAGATGGAGCCTGGCTCCACCACCCAGGATGGAGGTTAGTGGTGCAATCTTGGCTTACTGCAACCTCTGCCTCTCAGGTTCAAGTGATTCTCTTGCCTCAGCCTCCCAAGCAACTGGGATTACAGATTAGTGCCAGCATGCCCAGCTAATTTTTGTACTTTTAGTAAAGACAGGGTTTCTCTAAATGTTGGCCAGGCTGGTCTTGAACTCCTGACCTCAGGTGATCAGCCCACCTCAGCCTCCCAAAGTGCTGGGATTACAGGTATGAGCCACCGTGCCTGGCCTATAGTAGTACATCCTGGGCTGGGCAAGGATGCCGGTAATCCCAGCACTTTGGGAGGCAGAGGCAGGTGGATCATGAGGTCAGAAGTTGAAGACCAGCCTAGCCAAGATGGTGAAACCTCAGCTCTACTTAAAATACAAAAATTAGCTGGGCATGGTGGCATGTGCCTGTAATCCCAGCTACTTGGGAGGCTGAGGCAGGAGAATTGCTTGAACCCAGGCAGCAGAGGTTGCAGTGAGCCAAGATCTCACCACTGCACTCCAGCCTTGGCGATAGAGTGACACTCAGTCTCAAAAAAAAAAAAAAAGAAGTACTTCCTGATTGAAAGAAAGAGGAATCTCTGCTCCCTGAGATGTGAGTTCCAATATGAGCTCAGTTTCACCCCTACCTTGTTGAATGACCTTGGTGAAGTTACCTAGCCGCGGCGTGACTCAGTTTCCCCATTGAGTTACTGTGAAGCTCAAATGAGATACACGCAGGTAGAGTGCTCCCAGATGCTTCACTGTTTGCTTTTGCTTCTCACACAACCTAGCCATCAACCTGAGATTCTAAGCTCAACACACTGTCTCTGTATAGTGTACCTGTCCCATCCTCTTTAGTCTTTTGTTAGCTCCTTATGAAAGATATTCTTCATTCATGTTTTGATTCCTTGCAGGCTTAGCACATTGCAGATGATCAATTAACACTGGTTGGATTGAAATCAGCTGAGCTTCAGAATTTTTTTATTTAAATATTATTTTATTTACATAAACCAATAAAAGGAGAAAGTCAAAATGAAGAACCAATTTTAACCCCAAGAAAAATGTCGCAGGTTTCATGTGGCCTTGTTTATTATTACAAGACCCATGAGGTCATATTTTGTGATTAAGTGTATCCAGGTTGATGAGCTGTTAAATCTCTTATGCAAACACAGTTTTCAAGAGAACAAATGTGATCCTTTCAGACAGGCATACGTGCAGTTTCCAATAACAAACATACATGGTCTCAAAGTTACAGGTCAACAGTTACATTAGATAACTGTGAAAACAAACCTTTACTTATCAGGAAAGCTTTTGACTCTTTTTAGTAAACTGATTTTGACAGAAAATTAGCTTCATTTGCACAGGGGCTAGGGGAGGGACAGCAAGGGGCGGGGAGGTTGGGAGGGAGAACTCTGGGAGAAATGCCTGATGTAGGCGATGGGGGTGGGGCGGGGGGAGATGGAGACAGTAAACCACCATGGCATGTGTGTACCTAGCAACAATCCTGCAAGATCTGCACCTTTACCCCAGAACTTAAAGTACAATTCAAAAGAAAAAAAAAGAGAAAATACGCCAAAAAAGGTTGATAGTTTGAAACTATGGACCACAAGTTTCAATGCTCTTATGAAAGCTTCGAATGAAAAAGTTGTGGATACAAGTGCTTTTGATAAGTAGAGCTTCTGGTTAGCCATGATCCATTGTTTAAAAAGATTAAAGGGAAAAGTTAGAGAATATTTACCAACCAATTACTGCAACATTAAAATAAGTCTATGCTTTTTTCTGTATCTTGTGCAGAATGTTTCTTAAAAGCATTAGGCATTCCTTTAGGCATGGAGAGTGAAGGTTCTGGAGCCAACATCCCCAGATCAAAGGCAAGTCAGTGGAGAAACCAGGGAGGCCACTCAATAGCCCTGATGGTTGTCTTAAATGATAATGATATAAACCAGCTTTAACAGTAGTCAGGCAGGTGAAAGGTGCAGGTTTTACTCCATCTGAGCAGGGACAATACCCATGTGCCCCAGAGCATGGCACAGTGGTTACTCAATAACTATTTGATAAATACAGAGTTGATCTTCCTACCCACAAGGAAAAACCCCACCCTTTAACCTGATAGAGACATAGTCTGGTCTACATTTTATTCTGAAGAGGTTTTCCTCTCTTTGAGGCCTCCATGATGAGCTATAGCTTTTCTGACTTGTCAAACCCACTGAAGGAATGAATAGCCTACCGATGGTCCTAAGTGGTTATTTGACTTCTTGAAGGAGAAACAGCATAGGCTGCCATCATCACAGGACTCCCCACCTGCTGAGCACTCACGGAGAAAATGAAAGATTTCTCTAGAAACCTGGGCAACCTCAGGTTGCTAAAACACAAGGCAGTAATATGAAAAATATCCCAAGTCCCAACAGAATTTGAGAGCTAACTAGAACCACGTAGTCTTAGAAGGCACTGTTAAATAACCAGTTGTCCATTTCCTGAATAAGAAAGAGGAAGACATGGATGACTCCCAGACCTAAAGAGTAGTATTTTAGCAATTGTAACCTTATTCATCTGAGTGACCTTAACATAAACAAGGCACTGATATTTAACAAATATAGAAGGATTTATGTCCAGTGGAAATCACCTATCATTTTACACTACCTAGAAAACCCTGAAACTTAAACATTATTGACAACTGTAATTACATATAGAAATATGTGTTTATATTCATGGGTAGATCATTAGACACACTTCAAATTAATTACTTGAAAAAATAAAGGTGTACTGTGACAGCTAAGGCTTGAATTAATTATCTCTAGCTTCCAATGAATTTCAAGTATTTCAAAGGAAACTGAAGTTTCAATAACACATTTAAGTTAGAGGATAGAATATCTAACTCTTTTACATACTGAGTCCATCTTCTTTGCCATTTATATATATATATATATTTTTTTTTTTCAAAGGCTAGGTGCAGTAGCTCACACCTGTAATCCCAGCACTTTGGGGGGCTGAGGTGGTGGGATCACGAGGTCAAGAGATCAAGACCATCCTGGTCAACATGGTGAAACCCCGTCTCTACTAAAAATACAAAAATCAGCTGGGCATGGTGGCGCATACCTGTAGTCCCAGCTAGGAGGCTGAGAGAAGAGAATCACTTGAACCTGGGAGGCGGAGGTTGAGGTGAGCCAAGATTGGGCCACTGCACTCCAGCCTGGAGACAGACTTATTGAGGGCAGAGCAGAGTTATTTGCACCTCACAATAACTCAGTGGGGAAATATATATATATATATTTATATTCCAAAAGGAAATAATGTGCCTTCAGATCTTAACCTATGATTCTTATGTAGATTTCTGAGAGCCAAAATCAAGGAAAAAAAATGAGGTCAAGAAGGCTGGGAGGCACCATCTTCTCCATCTTTTTTGCTTAAGCCACGCAAGAAAGATGATCACACATCCTTCCCCTGAGACCATTTCAGGAGATAATGAACCTTATATTCATTATCTCTTCTTTCACCTTCTCCATCCCTTGCAGGTTAGGACAATGTCTGGTTCTTTCTGCAGGAAGAACGGCTTCTCACCATCTCAGAACATAAACCATCACAGATATGCATGCATAAGCTGCCTCTAGAAAAATCACTTTGTTTCTAGAAGGAAATACGATTTTATGTGCATATAAATGGGATCTATCAGTTTAACAGACATGAAAATAGGCTGCTATTCCATCTACATTTTCTTATTAACAATTCCTTTTCTGAACTTTTTATTAAGAAAAGTACCCTTTTACTGCATTCTACTAGAAATATAAAGTTCAGCTTAAAAAAAAAACAAAAAAGTAATATAAAGTTTAGCTTTATATTTATGTATGAGCTATAATTTTTCATAGCTAAGGTTTAGACACAGTGCCACACCTTACTCCAAAGAGTAACCTCTAAAACTTTACTTAGTGTGACATCTAGTGCCCAGAGCAAGAAAACAATAATACAAAGTCACTGTTGCCTATTGAGTGATTCATCTCCAGAAGTACTGACTAGGAGACACCAATAAGAGAAAAACAACAAATACGGATAATACTATAGGGTACAGTTCACAGATTGATTTCTTCACATGTCATCCCAAACCCCAAATATCCTCAAAATTGAAACGCCTCTAAATTTCATCTAAAGATGGAATATCCTCTACTCTTTGGCTCATTGCAATGAAAGAAGGTGACTGCTGCAAAGAAGATGAGAATGTTGTACAAAGGCTGTGATAATGTATCATTTTAACATGAATGCCAAATGACTGGCTGGTGCTTAACTTACTACCTATGCTCGAATGGAAAAGACCTTAAACTTAGGAGTTAGGAGCCCTGTGGGGGATTTCGGCTCCTATCTTATTAGCTGTGTGATGCTGGTGAGCTGCGTAACCTCTTTGAGTCTCTGCTGCTGTGCTTTCTCTGAAAGGAGGATTACCTACCTCTCAGAGTTTTGTGAGATTATTGAGGAGAAAGATGTGAAAGCTCTGCTACGGCCAACATGTATTGAGCACTTCCTATGTCCTAACACTGTACTAAATATTTTTAGTACGTAATTATCTCATTTAATCTTCTCAATGACCTTGTGAGGCAAGGGATATTAGTATACTCATTTCACAACTGAGAAAATGGACACCTGGTGAGGTGAAACCACTTTCCCAAGGTCCTAAAGCCAATAAATGACAAAGGCAGGATTCCAACTCAGTCCTTCTGATTCTAGAACCCACATGTGTCATCACTGTGTCATTTTAATCCCATTTCTGTAATTCCTTGGAATTCAGATCCTTGGTTTGGAGCTTCCTACTTTTTAAAACACTGTTGTTTTCTAAAATGCACTTGACTTACCTCACCTTGACCAAAGAA